GAAACACTCGTCGTTTGGACATATGGATTTGGAGATGTTCGTTGGAAGTCTCACTGATTGGCTCCTTTTATCCACCAGCCTAAGCCTAGCTGCCATCAGAGCTTAGGCTATCTTTAGACAAATTCACAATGCGAAAATTTTTCATGCGATGTTATCAATGCCTTTGCTTTTATTGACGTCACCAAAATATTGGAATTCACACTTTTTTATTTAGTCTAAAAACAAAATCATAAATCAAACATAAACTTTGTGCTTATTTTTAGTTACAAATAATATCACAATATAAATTGTTAGGTCTAATTTAATAATTCAAAGGATTTCAATTTTAATTCAATATTAGCATCAAAAAACAAAGTGCAACATTATCTGATTACTAAAAATTTATGAAGAAGAATTGAATTTCTTATTAAACAAATGTTGGATTTGTGGCTTGCAGTTCTATTAGTAAAAGGAAAATGTTACGAGTAAAAAGCTTAGATTGTTTTTACTTTCAATATTAAGTTTTAAAACTAATATTTAAGACATTTACTTTTTTGCTTACTTTGCTAATTTTATGATTCATTACTTGCTGCTTCCTTATTTTGTTTTCGATAGTAACTGTTTTTTACTTTGCGATGTTCGCCGTATTTCGCTCATCGCAGGTGTTGATAAATGATTTTTTTGAAGGTTACACATTTTTTGCATAATTTTCACAATTTAGAAAATCCTTTTTTCGTGTTTCTGCTCTCACAAAATGATAATAATTATCTCAAACGTACAACAACACTATCTATTCCTCCTCCTTGCTTAATTTTTCTGTTCATTTTTATTATCATTACTATTCGTAATTTTTATTATTCGCAATTACATAAAAGAATATAACAAATATCTACTAAATTTCCGTTTTGACATTTCAATGTATAAAGCAAGTATTACAATTTTTACATTGTTTTTATTAGCAATTGGCAATCTTTTGAAAAAATTAAAATATATTTCAACAAACTATCAAAAAGTTTGTTAAATTACGGTGTTATTAATTACAAATTTATGATAATAACAGAAGATATTATGGAAATAAGTAAAGATATTTTCGTTTATTTTCGCACAATTATTATTATATATATGGAAAAATTTTGTCCAAAATGCAAAATTACATAAAAGAATTAACAAATATCTTCACTTACTTCCATAATATTTCAATTTTTAAAAAATAAATATTGAATTTTTTCAAATTAATTTTTTATATTCCAGGAACTAGGGGTCAATTTTTTAATAAATATTGAGTTTTTTTGAATTAATTTTTGTATTCTAAAGGCTACGGGTAAAAAAAGATTCCAAAAAACTTCTAAATTATATTGAAAATTCATTAGCTAATTTTGTTATTTATATTCGTATTTGCTTTCTTATAACTAAAATTAGAATGTGCTCTTTCATAAGACTTTGTCTTAAAATCGTAAAGTTGTTTAAAAATTTTTCGTTTTTTTTTCAAATTTGTTCGTTGTTAGTATTTCCAACAATGAAAAAATGCCTCCTGCTTATAGCTTTCTACTACATTCCCAGCCAGCATAATTTATTGCTAAGTTTTCCATTTTTGGTAATACTACCAGATTAAAGTTCAATTAATTTTTGCACACATATCTATCTCCTTCAATTATGTAAGTCTATTGCTAGTCAAAAAATCTTACGATCTTGAAAAATGATTACTTTTTCTAATCATTTTTTGTCTAATACTTTTCTCGAAACTAAAAATGTGTGCATATAATCTTGATTTCTGATGTAATTTTTTTGTTATTGAGATCAAAACTAAAACATTCTCTCCATTCTTAACTTTTTCCTGGCAAACACAAACAAACCGTTCTGATAATTGTTTTCCTACAAATTCCAGCTTCGTTGAAAGTATCATAAAAAGCTACTGATCTGGAAATTCATCATGTGAAAAAAATTTTTTCAAAGTTTTTCTATCAGTTTTTGATAAGAAATTTTAATTTATCAAATCTTTTAAAGTTTTTCTATCACATATTCATGATTAATTAATTGTCTTGCAGAAGTAGCTGTTGAATCTAATAAGTTTCATGACATTATCACTGGATGATACATGGCTAAATTGTTTTAAAAGATGTGGGAAAACTATGCATGTTATTGTGAATGACGCTTCATTTTTTTACATAAAGTAAAGCTAGATAATCTTGCAAGTATTAGCGAACTACCAAAAACTATTTTTACATTTATGTGTTTGAAGAGAAAGAAATATGCCATAGCAAGAATTAGTTTTCGTTTTAATTATTAATTTATTTTAGTTCTTTAAATATTTTTATAAGTTTTATATTTAGAAAAGTTGTAAATCCATATTATCTGTGGAAATTTTAAGATTTCTGTGCGAATTAATTTATTTCCGACTTCTAACTACTTCAACAACGCACTCAAATTGAGTAAACAATTTGCAGCATGCAAATTGTTTGCTATTACTTCTGCAAGACTTGAAAATAATACTTACTCATATTTGATGTAAAAATAAAATTTATCTCTTTTTTGCACAAATATTATCAAATAATACTGATATTTATTGCTAGTTTAATCTATTAATTAGATTTATTTGCTCTAATTCATAACAATGAAAACTCTAATATGGCAACCAAATTTATTTTAACCATTTTGTACTTTATAAGATTCATAGAGTTTCCATAAGTACATGAAGACTGAATATTTAATAAACGTCACATTCAGGTTGATGACGTATGCATGATATTAGAGTGATTGTAAGCAGTGTCAGTTCTTTGAGCTGTTGCTTGGTCAGTATTGAAATGAGTGTATTTAAAATTACATTAATATTCATTCTTAAATTTATTTACAGGCAAAAAGCAGTCTGAATCTCATTCCACGTTTCTCTTCTTCCTTTGATTGATGCTATGAGATAAATGCTTTATTCAGTCTCAAAGGAAATATTCATTTCTTACTCTCAGCTTTCGTATATCTCAGATACAAAAAGAATAGCCAATAAATTTTGTATCTTAAAAAATTAGAATAAATTGTTGCAATTCGCAAACACAATAAAAATTTAATACAGTAATTGTGCAGTTAAATTAAAGAGTAAAAATCAACATGTGATATGGAAAAGTTTTGATCGTAGCAAAATTTTACGAAGGATTCAATCTCACCTCAAAAATGTAAAATGTTCCGAAATTTCAGTAAACAATTCTTTATCACTTTTAGTAATAATAAATCCTTTCAAATTCTCAGTGTAAACTTTTAACGAAATCAATAAAGATATAATTGCATATTAAAGCTAGCATGCGCATTACAACTTTGCCATTCCGCTATGCGATTATTTCTTTATTGACTCAATTAATTGAGAATTAAAAATATAAGACGTTACACGTCTTTATGAGTATTATAAAGAGCATTATATCAATCCACTTTGTAATAACTTAGTGGGTGAAGGTCAAAATTATTTATCATACTATTAAAGGCAATCAATTAGTCAAAACCATTCTTATTTGTTTAATATTTTATATTTACATGGATATTTACTAAATTAGTGTTGGTATATTGAAAGTATAAGAAGTCTTACTCTTAATATCTTGCTGATACATTTTGTCGTATAATACTATTACTTATTAAAAGTTCAAAGCAGAGGGATAAATAAATTATTAAATACTCAAAAGAAGAGAAAAACGTAGATGAGAAAAGTAGTAGAAAAACAATATGATAATAACGTTTTTCTTCAAAGATTTTGATTAGTTCAAAAGTCCTTCAATTTAACAAAGTGGCACTTCCACGCTTAGCTATAGCCATAATTTCTCTCCCCTCATTTTTTTTCCTTGATTAACAATTAATTCACAATTATATACCATTGAATGATTTGTTTAAATTGAAGATGAAAATTGTAAAAATGAGAAAACAAAAAGTGAAATTTTGAATATGTTGTCGTCATTTTTGTTAAATTAAAACTTTAGTAATGTATATAAAATGCATGTTTCTCGTAATCTGTGCTAAATCATATTACATATAGTGAGGAAAACCGTAATACGTTATACATGTAAGCACAAAATCAGAAAGTTATAAAATATATTTTCAATATTTTTGATGATTGCTCATTGAATAAAATTGCTTACAGACTGTAATTTCAATCACAGATAGATAATTTACCTGTAAGGAGTGAGAAAAACATCTTACAACTATAAAACAGCCAATTATATCTAATAGATACGATTAATAAATTCATAAAAAGAATAATGCTTAATACCAAGATATCCAATTTACTGAGTCACTTCCTTGTCTTTATTTGATACCGAACGTTCATAACAGAATTTTATCTGTAATTAAAGTCATGTATGACTGGATTAGCTTTTGCTATGCTAGAAAAATGCTAGCTTCTGAAATTTAAGCCTCAACTGAGCGCATGTGACATGTTTACACACACTATTGAAAGTGGTCAGGTATGAATATAAATCTCTTCCCTTTCTCGGTGGCATCAGCATATCTCTGATTTGTAAGCTTATATAATTCATATAATATTCCACAATTTTTTTCTGAATTAGGCTTTCTGGTATCATGTAATTCTTTAAAGTTTTTCTCATACTTTTGAATTTTTTAAGATATATCTTTAAATGTTTGAAAAGTAAGTAGCATCGAAGAAATCAAAATCAATACAAATTTTGAAAATTTAAAAATCCAACTTCGTTTTGTGATGAAAAATTTGAAAACTCATTCAATAAATAATTAAATGTTCTCGAACAATAAAGTAATAAATATTTCTTATGGCTAACTTTTTTTCTGATAATTATTTATGTTGTCGATTCTAAAAAATGTTAGTAGTACGTCTAGATTGCTTTTATATTTAATTCAATTTATTTAGTTCATTATTAGCTTTTAATGCTAATTTCTTTTAGTTTTATCTAAAAGTATCAGTTTCATAGTTTGCTGAATAGTTTATTATCATCATTAGTTTTTGATATCCATTTGAAAAAAAGAGATAAAAGGATGTGATATTGCAGATATTACTAACGTGTAACTATTTCAGAATGCCGTCATCATCAATCCGAAAAAAAGTTTGCGGTTTAATACGTACTACGTTTTCATCGATAAGTGTTGCTGATGACGATAACGGTGGTGTTGAAAATAGTAAAGATGATGACTATGTAAATAATGACAAAAATGTTAGATGTATTAGAAATAATGATACTGTGAAAACTGCTGCATCAAATGCATTATTACGTAATGGCTGCAGGGATAATAATGGTTGCTCACCTCTGACCCCTACATGCAGCAATTCTTTTATCACTCAGTGCATCTTTAATAGGTATACAATTATTCTATTCTGCATTAGTTTTTGTTGCATACCTTCGTTTTCTTCAAGAAATCATATTAGTTGCAAAGATCTCTTTGACAAAATCAGTATAATATTTAGCATAAAATTGGAATTTTTAAATTAAAATCTTTTTCAAACATCTTACTTTAATAGTTTTTTGGAAGTTTCTTTCTAAATAATCATTTAAAATTAAATAGTGCTAGAGTATACTAGTAGAATATAATTCATTATTATGTAGAAGTAAAATTTTGTTGTAACATATGAAACTACTCAAACATCATGTAAATAAATTTAAATATAATGTTTTTGCGCCTGTTTTTGTATCTTCATTTATATTAAGTGCACAATGTTTTTTATTGTTTGATTAATCCAATTTATATTTTATTTTCTTTTATCTTTTTTATTTTATTGTTCAGAGCGTTTAAAAGTCTTAATTTTTGCTTCAGTAAAGAAATTTTAAAAATGCAAAAGTATATATTTTATTAGCTGTTTGGATAAAGTTGAAAAACTGAGTAATTTTATGAAGCAAAAGAATACTTTTCGTTTTTTTATTTTCATTGCAAAATTTATATCCTTAAACGAACAATCAAAATCTATGAATAAATCTTTGCCACATTGCATTTTAGGAAAAATTGTATGAAATATGAGATGGAAATTTATTCGGGCAAAACAGGGCTTGATTTGCCAGTTCTGATGTTGGAACCTCTTTCCAAAAATGTGTGCGCTTCATATACTGGTCCAGAAGGTGGACTGACCGAGGTAAATTGATCAGATCGATTTTTTCATATTTTGAAGTCGTTATCAATCTTTGAATGCTAAATTATTAACTCAAGTTAGAGAATGAGTAAAATAGTCACACCACTCAATTTTGAGTATTCTTTATTGTAAAATTTACGGTGTCTAACTGAACTTTTCTATTCCAGTTTTTTCTTAGATCTTTTATACTGTCAAGAATTTTCGGACGTCAGAGTAGTGTCCAGTATTTTTTTAGGTTGGTAGTATGCGCCGACAGCCAATTGTGCGAATGGCTAATTTGGATGATGAACTCTGTCTAAGTTTTGATGGTGACTTATCTGTGGATATCGGTGATTCAGTAGATAATGAATATGAAACTCAGCTGCACAGTCATCTCCGGCAGTCGTCGTCCGGTTTGATTGGTTCATGTATTTCATTGGTTGACTCACTTACTGCAGAAAGCGCGACACCGTTATCAGATACCAGTATATACTAGATTTGCCTAGCTTTTTTCGAGTGAAAAAATCATTTTCGCCAAATTTAATGGATTTTATGTTTTCCAAGTCTTATATTGCTGCATTATTGAACTTTAAAATTTAAGTACTGGTTAACTAATTAGTATGTTCAGTTTTAATTACATTTTATCTGATTATTCTAGATAATTATAACTGGGAATGTTTCGATGAAGAGCGTTGTTTTGGTATTTCAACATCGTTGTATGAACGGAATCCCTTAACAGGTGTTAATGCTGGCAGTCCAATAGCAGATGCTTTTGGTATTATAGCCCGGGATAACAATGTGGTTATGGCATTGGCTGATGGTGTAAATTGGGGTGAAGGAGCTCGTCTAGCTGCACGATGTGCTATTCGAGGAGCTATTGATCATCTCAACTGTCATCTTTTTGCAGAAGAATGCAGAACAACCACTGTTAGTTATTTTTCAGATTTGCTCAATAATTTTAAGTTCTTTTTTTTGAAATTGCAAAGTGTATCTCACTTTATCACTAAATTTCTGAAGAAATGACTTTTACGATAGTTAGGCTGAATAGACAGTCTTTTATTGGAACGATTTGTATGTAGTTAAAGAATAAGCTCATTGTTATGTTTAGTATCCTACTGTTACCCGAATCTATGTTTTGTGATTGTTTTTTGTTAATGACTTATACTAATGAAGGTGTTAATATAACTAGATATTTTTGCAATCTTAAAATGATCTATGCCTCATTGATATAGGTCATTTTAAGATGTATTTCAGAAGTATTTTAAGAACCTATCCGTGAAACATTACAAGCTATTTATTTTATTTCACTTTTGATTGATTTTTAGTCTTTCCACTATTTTTAATGTTTTAGGAGGTATTTCATAGCTTACTTGGAGCATTTCATTCAGCACATGCTTTGATTTTACAAGAAGGTGGATTATTGACAACTCTCTGTGTTGCTGTTGCAGTACAGTTAAAACAAATAGAAACATGGGTGCTTTGCGTTTGCAATGTAGGAGATTCTCTCTGTTTTGTTTATAATCCACAGACCGGTGTTCGAGAGGTATGTTAAATTTACCCCGAATATTTAGCTGTATGAGAACTTCACTTAGTTCATACTGTAAACCTCAGAAATTTCTTACTAAGTCGAAGAAAAATTGATGGATAATATTGAGTAAAATGAGATTCATTTTGAGGTGACAGTTGCTTCTCACGATATCTGCAGCATGCGAGATATGCGTGATGCAGGTGGTGCATTAGGACCGGTTGATGGTACCAATCCTCAATTGCAGAATCTGACATGTTCTATGACATTTGTCGAGCCAGGCAAGCACACTTCCTTAGGATTTCAACAAACAAATTTTTGTACTATAACTGACAAGAAAAGAAAATGGAAGCACTTTGAACGATTGTAGTTCGGTGATACCAAATAATTTAAAGTTTATAGTTGGGTATTTATTTTCTTGTAGATGATGTTATATTTATCACATCGGATGGTGTTTCTGATAATTTTGATCCGGTGGTTGGAAAATTTTGTGTTATCAAGAAATCGTCAGGGCCAGACAATATTATAGAGGATTGCAAAACAGTCGCAATGTATATATTTTCATCTTCTGGTCTCTTATTTGAATATATTTTTTTCACTGTAAGAGAAAGAAATAACGAGTATTATATGTGCTATTGATTACTTGCTCCATTGGTTAGAAAATAGTTCATTTAGCTTTTAGTCGCGTCTTGAAAAAAGGTTGAGGTCTTCTTAGATAAGTTTTGCATAATGAGAGTATATTTTACCCACTTTAAATAAAATATCAAAGATTGTGGTACCAAATTGTAATGCACGGTTTGTTTCAGATCAGTTGGTGGAGACGAAAAAAATCGAGATGCTGAATTTGCACGTATACGCACCTGCAATGCCTCTCTTCCATGTGTTGATGCTGAACAGCGGCATGAATTAATGTTGCTTAGGTGGTGTAATTATTTTCATTTTTATCTTGGATTAATTTAAGAACATAACCAGATTTTTGAACTGGAATTCTAAACTTTTCCAGATGATGAAATGCTATTTTTTCAGGATGAGTGATATCATCTCGAATGGTATCCTCCCACCCAGTACGAGTTTTAGGCCCTTCCCATTATCCGATTCATTGGAGAGTACTCGTGTTGTTGTTAGTGCGAGCAAACTATGTCATAACCTCATTCAGTTTGCCCAACAGTTGTCCATGTGGGTACAAGTGTACTTTTTGTAGTGTTTAGAATGGATTTTTGTAGTCTAGGGAACTTAATCATTTGTATTTTACTCCTTTAAAAGCGCATGAAAATTTGATTTTCAGCATCTTCAAATTCTGTCCCTGGTTTCTAGCAGAATAATGTTTTAGTCTTTCAAAATCTATGATTGCTCTTTTGTAGTATTTAATTCATTCATACTTAGAATGTTCAGGCTCAGTTGTTTTGTATGCAGTATACAACTAAATTATTCCTCATGACGTTTCACATTAATGTTCACTCTCTGTACTGATTTTTTTCTTTAGTGTTTTTTTTTTTTGCCCCATTTGCTAATTTTTTAGGGCAAAACGTCGAACTCTGGAGGATCCTGAGCTTTACCAAATAGAAAAATATCTCACGAGAAACGAGCAACGTAATCATCGTAAAATGGTACGATGTAGACTGAGTGAAATGCCGGGAAAGTTGGATCATGCAACGGTTGTGGCTTTTAAAGTGGGAATTTGGCCAATTGATGATGGTAAGTGTTTGAAAAGCTTTGTTCCTCAGAAATGTAGTACTGTAAGAAAAACTGAATGATGAATATGCGGTGTTTTTTGATTTTTTCAAGAGATATCATTGTCTTGTGGGTGATGTGAAATGGGTTATTTGTAAATTTAGACTCCATCTGTGAAGTTTCCTTGTCGGCTGATGATAATTCTGATGGTTCACTTACTACATTACACTGCAATAACGATGAAAGTGAAGATGGAGTGACTATAAGCAAGTTACCCATGGTTGGAAATGTATATGAAGAAGTGACATTGAATTTGAATTTTGTTGTAAGGAATGATTTTAATGCATATGCAGAAAGTTTCATCGTATGCAATAATAATCTAGAAACATCAGTTGTCAATTTGAATATGGATGTCAACTCTGTATCGTCTGAATTAATGGAAGTCAACAAAGGAAGAGTAAATATAAGTCGTCCATGCGAAGGAATGCCGGTAAATTCATCATTTTATTGGTTATCGTAGTCACAGTGAAATAATCCCGGTTGTTGTTACCTTCCGATTTAAATAGGAGTATAGGGTCATGTTCTCTCGTGGTTCAAATGTAGGGAATATATTCAATAAATCTCGTTGGGATTTCGATTTTCAGGCTTCAATGAAATCAGATGATAAGGTCCGCAGACAACATCCTCGTGGATCTGTTGGTCGTCACACGCTTTCAGTAGATGTAGCGTGGTTAAAAAAATTCGTCGCACTTAAAAACTCCACGAACGCAACTGTGAACGAAGAAGAAAATAAAACTAAGTCAGATATCATTTTTTAAAGTTACTATTTAGAGGAAGAATTTCTTGGGGTAAATAAATTTAGAAGTAAGTTTAACAAGCAGTGTTTAGGATTCCTTATCCCGTAGAAACTGATAGACCACAGTCTCTGTCATTGGGTCAACGTTTACGTAGTTTGATGGGTTCAGCGCGAAGCGTTATTCAAACAAGTGTCAGCGCAACACCAAATAATGAATTACCTCCACGAAGCCGATTCACTAAGAAAATATCATCTGCCAATTCCTCACCAAGAAAAAAATCACAAGCTTATTGAAAATTAGCATTTATGCTGTGAAGGTAAGATAAATTTAGGTGTCTTCGGATCTTCGGTGTCTTTCTCTCATTTGTTGAGGAATTGAAAATAACGAGATGTTACAACTATTATCAGTTGAAATTGGGGCCTTCATATTTAGGTATTGAAATTCGTGGAAAAATGCATTAAATTTTAAGAAAATATTGCATTTTTGTTAGTAATTCTCTAAAAAATGTACAGTTCGTTGATTTATTGATTTCAAACGCTCTTTAATGATATTTGTGAAGAAAAAGGCTCAAAAACTATGCACAGTAGTGCGCATTTCTGAAAATTGTGCTAATGGACTTCGTTAAGTCAAGATAGTTGAATATTTGCAGCATTCTTGATGCTAAATTTGTTTTTATTGTGCGAAGCAACCGAGCGTTTTGGTTTTAAGGTACTAAACATGAATTTTGTCATTCTTGTTGCTCATTTTGTGACTCTTCTATCTTATTTCATGAAATTCTGACGGAAACTTGAAGAAGTTTATACAGCTAACAACGTACTAACAACGTGTAGAATTACCATTAGATTTCTCAATCCTGCTGCTTATGAGCACTGCCAGTTCTTATTTTTGTATTTCTCATAATTGTCATTCATTAAATGTTCCCTGATATTGTGTAATGGGAATATTGATAGCATACTTTACCACATCCAAGCATGCATTTCTTCTCATCCAAGTCTATTTTGTTTGTTATGATCAACCAGTAATTGATCAGTTATGTTTGTATATTGATGGGTAATTAAACAGTATATTTACCTTGTTACTTGCTTATTGTAATATGGAAGCTATTCCAAGTTATATTCATGGTACAAAGCAGTAATTTGACGGCGATATTTTGTCAATCTCTGTATTCTTAATAGTCTGTGCATTTTTTCATTAACACTTGGAGTAAGCTAACAATGTTTATTCCATCTATGTATTATATTCACATATGTCCTCTCATATGTGTTATCTTGACAGGTTCACCTTTGCCGTCGGTATAATGCTAGCTTTTCATGTGAAGGAAGTACCTTGCTTCATGATATTGCAACTGTTTGGGTATCGAAGGTTACCGGTTACTCCTGACTGCTGTGCAGGAATCCAATGTTTTCCATAAATCTGCAAGGATTGCTGATACTGTTTCATGAAGTCTCATCCTACGGTCACATCACCGTCTGTCATGAAATTTATCTTTCTTGACTTACAAGAAATGACGCGCTCACTTTACAAATTAGTGCATTCCCTGACTAGCCAACCTTACACATACGTCTATTCTAGTTAAACTGAATGCCCACTGTTTCGGATCTTCTAAAATGTGAAGTTAACTGGACGAACACCATTGCCGCATTAGAGCTATGTGCACAGTAGTTGGAAAGACTTTGTCATGGAAATTACCATATAGTCACTTTTTATATCTATATATATAGAATTGCCAACAACAAAAATAGTATTTCCAGTCGTTTTGTAAGCTGTTTTACTACGTGTAACATGCTTTAATTATATACAAAAAAAGGAAATACACGTGAGGAACAATTACTGCATATACGAAAGCTATACAATGAAAAGCCCTAATATTACATAACAGTGCAGCCGTTATTCACATGAAATTCTGCTTATCGCAATTCACCAAGTTACGGTAAAACTGTAAGTTCGGATTTTTACTGGAGAAAAAAACGAATTAAGTTTAGAATCTATAAACAGTCTTCTATAATGAGCGCAATTGCATAGCCTATTATTACATAAGAAAAACGTATAGGAGAGAGTTTTAAGAAAGTAAGCAATCAAAAATGAAAATAAAATAGATGCAACTAAGAACGAACTAGTTTAATATATAGATGTTGACATATCACTTCCCCATACAGTCAAAATTTCAAATCAGATACTAAAGTGAAGAACACAGTCCTAATCAAAAAGATGCAATGGTTATTAAAAGGTCGTAGATTATCAAACCCAGCTTACTATTTAGTACAGGTCATTGCAAAGACCAAATAATTCATTTCTATCACCAAAAGCCCGTTTTTAATACTAAATTACTGGTACAAGAATATATACAACGAACACGAGAGGTCATATGTTGTTCAGCTCAGGAAGGATGGATATTTCTGGATCATTAGCCATTGAGTAAAAATCTTCTGATGAATTGCGCCTTGAACGACCACCTACAAGACTTGAGAAACCAGAAAACTGTTGACGTTCTCGGTTTTGCAGAATTTTTCGCCAGATACGGCATACTACACCACCTCTGTGACGTGATTAACGTTTAAAGAACATATCTAATTCATTAGAACAAGTCTCAAAGAAGTCTATCCTGTGATCAGATCTACATTATAACAAAAAAGAAGAAATTAGTTAAAGAATTAATAATTCTCTCAAATGTATCGTCTGGCTGATAAAATGCAAAGCCAATACGAGAAAATTCAGAAGAGAATTTAATTACTATAAGATATTTCAGGAACAGAGAACGCTTCCTTATGTAAAACTAATTAGATCTGGACTTTTTACTATCTCCAAGCTTGCATTAATAATGCGCCAGGAACATGATACCTTAGATTAAGTTTCATTAAATCATCTCGAGTAACGAAATCGAGAAGATCTTGTTTTGTATATTCCTCTTCCAATATACGACCAATTGTAACATCATCACAACCAAAAGAATGCAACCACTGTGCCAATTCATCATTTCCATACTTTCTTTAAACAGTAATTTTAAGTAGCACTTGGAATTCAGAATTACCTGAAACTATTGTTCAAAGACTGTCTTTTAACTACACCTCTCCCTTTTGATTACAGTTCAGATTAGGTACTTAATTAAAAGACAGTCAATAAACAATAGTTCAATTATAATCCAAACTAAGCTCAAATTATTCTCCAGATCATGCAATTGAAATAAACGAATATCTACAAAATTTATCCACTTACAAAGCATTATCTACATCGCCTGGTAATTCTTGATTTGTAGATTTGATATTGCTTACAGCTAGCAGTTTTGAAGAAAAGGAACTTATTTTAGTGTGTACTACTAGCGGCGACACAGGTGAATTGGATCGTAATTGAGAAGAAGGTGCTAGAAACTGACTGCTATTAGTAGTATCAGACAATAAATCAGACAAACGTTTCACGCGCAAGCGCTTGTCTTTCAAAGTTGTTTGAAGTAATTCATTATATTCGCGTTCGACAGAAACCAACTCTTCGAACAACCTAAAATCAAGAAAATGAATAAATAAAATGAAAAAGTTGCCCAAATGGAAAGACAGCAAAATGTATGCAACCGCTATTAACAATAGTGAGATTTTGAGATTGAATTGGTAAAGGTATTTTCCTACTATAGGTACCACTAAGCTGTATTTTACAGACGTACTTCTGAAATCAGAAAAGGAACATTTTATATGAGTATATTTCAACCTTCTGTTTTCATCCAGCAATGATCGCATTTCTTTCCGCATTTCTGATGAAAAATTATTCCACATTATTTCTCGGCTGACACCTCGCGATCCAGAACAAGTTTGACTGTCCACAGTTGAGTGCTCACTATGTGAGCCACCACTTTCACGAGATACTGATGACATACGATTACCTGGTGCATCTTGTATTGATAACATTGCAGACAGATCTGCAAAATGCGATAAGAAACACCATAGTACTTCGACATAGCACTAAAACTTTTTTGGAAGCATAATGTTTACAGCTAAAATAGCATAGTTTAGACTGCTATTGAAAAGGATTAAAAGAGCAGGGTGGTATTATCATAACTCCTTCCGTTAAAATTCCATAGTGATCAAAAAATTAGAAAAAAAATACTGAAAGTGATTAAGAGTATAAATTAAGCATTGACTAAATTAGCGACTACTGACTTCATAAAAATTCTGTTCGACGATGAAATTTAATACAATTTTTTCTACGAAAGGTGTCATTAAGCAATTTTAATTTATTGCCAGGGATGATAATATCTGTGTAAAAATTTTTACAACAATGTACAGCTTATTCATCTTAATTCTATTCCTCTCCCTTACCAAAAAGTTAAAAGGAAAATCTTACTCTACAATAATTTTTTCCTAGCGGGAAATTTTCGTGTACAACTTTACTATAAATACCAGCATTCTCTCGAAATTTAGCACCGTTGAAACTAACAGTAATACATTAATTTGCCATAAAAGTTTTAGTACTATACATCCAGTATTTATTCATTATAATTTATTAAGATACTGGCAATATTTAGTACAAAGTAGACAAAAGTCGTGACGAGAGGCAGTCAGATACCATATTCAATACATGCCTACAACCTAAATCACATTTATTGAACACGAAAACATCCAAATCACTGATTACAAAAAGTGTTCATAACAAACATGTATATCGTATGCTCCACATTTGAAAATACCATTTAAATAGTTACAGAAAAATAAAATAAGCAAACCTGGTGAAAGAATACCAACAGCAGCTTGCACAGCACTACGAATTAAATTGTCAAGAGCAAAGATCCAATGGGGTTTAATAGTTTGCTGACGTAATGAAGGTTGTACTGCTTCGGAAAAACTATACAACGCAAGGTTAACTTGGGCAATCGCAGCTGGTTCAAAATCTAGCTGTGCTCGAACTGTATCAATTGCATTCTGAAAAAAATCATTGCTTTACCTCTGAACTAATATATACAGGAATCCATATGAGTAGCAACTAGAATAGAGCAGGTAAATTTTTTAATTTATCAATACCAGTGTAACGAATGTATACTTCATAAAATTATTGTAGATCTAACAGATATTTCAAAAACCTTACTGGAAGAAACAAACTATTTCAGAATCAATCATCATTAAGAAAAACATGCTTGTATGGGTGTTGTATCTTTCGAAAACAAATAATTTCGCATACCAAGTAGCAAGGTTAATAACATCTCCTGTAAGGATTTTTATAATTTAGCAACAGCACCAAATAGAATGCTACATCTTATTCATGTGGTTTTATGGTCAAAAATAATTCATAACTTACTTTTGTCACAACCAAATCGCCAGCAAGCTGACTTTTAGTAAGATGTTCATACCAATTATCAATAATCTAAAACATCACAAGACATTGAATTGAACAATAAGAAAAATAGAAAATAATCATTCATCAGAGCCTTCCAAGATGTAAAGATCATGTACAAGTAACAAGGAACACTAAGATAATATCGAGGTGTTAAACAGCAAAGCAGTGATTATTTAAAAAACACTGCAAAGACTAAAAAGTTGTCAGATAGGTATCAAGATATTTACATGATAAATTATTTTTTCTTAAATTTTATTTTCCCTACTGCAAATACCTCGTTCTTGTAGTCCAACATGAAACGTGATAGAGTATTGCGCCGTTCGGAATCTTTCTTAAGCATGAAAAAACGAGAAGACATTCCACTTTCATCCGAGGTAGTTCTATTTAACATGCTAGAATTTGAAACTGATGAGACTGCTCCATTTATCGAAGGGCTACAGAGTGATGATAATGAATTTAGCTGCGGATGTGTATTATCATCTGAAAAATGAACCAAAATTTTAATTTGTTAACAACTAAAAGTATACCAACTAAAATAAATACGTAAATAGTTTCAAAAAATTAGACTAGTATTACAAAATTCAAAACCATCACCAATGACTGGAGATGAGGGTTGACTCAGTTGAAGACCAGATGAATTTGGACTAATAGTGCTGTGATCTAGTTGATGCGACGGAAATCGTGAAGCTGCTGTACTCTCTATCAATAAATGTAAGTTTTTTACAGTTTCAGCATCCTTGCTTGCTTCTCCTTGCGCTCCAATATAAGACACCGATCGCTGAATTTCTGTAAGCGGAAACGTAATACTTGAAAGAGAGAGCATTAAGGATCACTTTATGAAAATTATTTTAATTTATTAACGTTTGAAGAGTTAGATAAAATTAAACAATTTTTAAAGCTTATCCTAAAATAGAGTAAGTAAATGATTATGTTACAAAAAAGTGATAAGAAGCTTTTAAGATCGAAATTAACAAGTATGAAAAATAATGAAAGTACTGAAATTCAAAATAATAAAAGCAAAAAGTATGAGGATGAAATATTCCAATTACCTAAGTTTCTGCCGTCGAAAACGTTCTAAAAGCTAATGATATTCTAAGCAAATTATGAAAATGATACAGAGTCAGCACACTCATAAAAAATGAATCTTCTTTTATCATGAGTAGACAAACATTATCGAAATAATCAAAACTATCAACCCACCACGATTATGTTTCCAAGTCTCAAAATGTTTTTTGTTGGCACTTCCAGTTCGATTTCTGAAAATCAGAAAAACGGTTTTAAATTCTGTAGTACTAATCTTCACTGATAAACTACAAAAAAAAAATGTATAAATAGAATAAATAATTGTTAGCAAGAAATGAAGTAGCGAGAAAAATACGAGTGCGGTATATATTGTTGTATAAATGGATCGACTAGTAACTCTGCAGCAGCGGCACGCTTTCTTGGATCGGGTTCAAAGCACCTGTAAATAAGTGATAGATTTAAAATGAAACTGCAAAATTTAGAAAGCAATTTGGTTGCTTAAAAAAAAAGCTACTCCATTTTCATAGTAATGAATTGGAAGAAACATTAATCGAATGAAGCACAAATGTCCAGTACTTACCAAGAGCTGAAATACATAAAGCTTAATTTCTAGATGCTTTCAAAATCCAATCATGATAAACGAAAAAAGAATTTAAAATCGTGCTCAATTTTTACACTAGAACATTGCTTGATTTCTTTTGTTGGTTTTTATATCAATAGTGACCAAAGAATTTGAATAAAATTTGACGGAAATACAAAGTGATTTATCAAGCTACAAAAAAATACCACAAACTGTTAAAAACATATTACTTCAAAGAAATGATTAAATTGAACAACCTCAAAATAAATCGTTTACATCTTTCACTTAAGCCATCAGGAATCGGTGGATGTGTTTTGAACATCCCCACCTTGAACATTGCTGCTTGCGGTGAGCCGAGTTCAACAAATGGTGGTCGTCCTGTAGCCATTTCAATCATTGTGCAACCAAAACTCCAAATATCTGCAGGAGCACCATAACCACGTTGACCATGGTCAATTACCTGAACACGCAATTTAGTAAAAGAGAGGATGGTTGAAATGTAGTGAAGTACGATAAGAATTTAATAAAATCTAAAGGCCTCAAACAATTTAATTACTTCAGATGCAAACCTTTTAAATGAAATTTATCTACCATGAGCTTTAATGATTAGAAAAAAGAAATACAATGTAAAGCATTAACAGAACATGAATGATTTAACCACTATACTGATATGAACACCAAATATTTTCTAAGACTTTCACCTCTGGAGCCATGTACTGTAAAGTCCCTGCGAAAGTTTCAGTCACCGGATTCAAACCAGCCAGTCTTTTACATGTGCCAAAATCAGATATCTTGCAAACTCCACTATAAGTATTCACAAGCACGTTATCACCTTTTATATCGCGATGTACTATTTTCTGACCATGCTACAATTTACTTAATATATTTGTTTCATAGCACTACAGAGATGAACAATTAAAAAATTTCATGCTTTACATACTAAAAGTCTGGCAATCAGTATAAGATGAAAAGCCCATGCAATGTTTAGACAACTATCATTATATTTTTTCTAAAAGCTAAAACAGGCAGAAACAAACCAAATAACGCAAGCCATCTAGAATCTGTTTACCATATATAGCCATCGTTTTTTCATTATCCATTAGTGGGCCCCATTTGCTCCTTAACAATGAGCTTAAGCTTCCTGAAAATTGCAAAAGAATATAAAACTCCTAACCTTTAATTGAATTAAGCCTAGTCTAGAGCATTTACTTTCATTCACCTCCAGGAACTTGCTCCATAATTATTTGGAAAATGTCATTTCCTTGATCTATTTTGACTAGTTTACATCCAAGGTACTGAACAATATTCTGATGGGAAAGAGTTGAATGTAACTGAATTTCTTCCATTAGCGGTTGAACTTCTTCTTCGTTTTTCACTTCCACCTCTTTCACTACTATAGACCTACAAATAATTAATATTTAATCTTTTTTTGCTGCATTAATTTGAATCAATAGTTCACTAAAAATAAACAAGACATATTTTAATTTATTGAAGAATAAGTGACTCCGAAGAAAGGTTTCACTCAAGTTTTGTTCAGGAAGCTGTCCATTACTGTTATTATCGTGAGTTGATCTTTTTATGAAATGATGGAAATATGGTAAACCTAAGAAATGAAGCGCATCAGAAAGTAATTGAACAGCGTTTGACACGAAAAATAAAATTAAACTGTGTGGCGTACAAGAATAAGTTTGTCTAAAAAGCTGATTAAACTGATACCTTTGTGTTGACAAATCTCTTCCAGCATAAACAACACCATATGTACCACGCCCGAGAACCACGCGATCACCATTATTCGTCAATTCATACTCAAACTGTAAACATAAAATTTAAATAACACATCACTATGAAAGTCATATTATGTAGACGCAATGTATACAATTACTAGTTACCTCCAAGCGATTCTGAGCTTCACAATCATGTAAGACACGACCCGCGTTACCATCCAGTTCATTAATCATTTCAATCAACGAACCCATTACCCTGACAAAAATTCCAATAAATATCTTAAAATAGTGTGCACATTACCAGTAACTCGAGGACATACTTATTGCAGTGCGCAGCTGATGGAAATACTAAATTGAAATCATCCGAATTTTCATGAACATAGAGAAACATAGAACGATCATCACGCTTCGATGCGGACACTGCTTTGATGTTTGTAGCAGTGAAATGCCAACGATGGATACCTAAAATATAAAGTGCACAAAAATATGTGAGATCTTCTACGCATAAATTATACCAAACAAGTATTTAAAATATACATAAATTGAAAGACTGCTTAGTGTTGATAAATAAATATGAGAACTTCAGATCATGAGTAAATTTGTTGAACTCTTATATACTTGCTGGAAATAACTACATCTGTAGCTTTAATGCCTTTAAAAACTGATATTGCTTTGATACGAACTACAATTTTCGAAAATTTGTAGATAAAATAAAACAAATCAGTAGTCAAAATTTTTATTATACATCACAATAAAAGACAACAAAGGACACCGATAAATAAAAACAAAAGTAAAAAATTCTAAACACAATGAAAGGAAACAAATAACGGATAAAACGATATCTCACCTGGAGGAGGTTTCTTTTGTTGACTGCTTTCCAGTACATGACTGAGAATTATCGAACCCTCACTTACATTTAGTGTTAAAAAGCTTGGTGTGAATTGCTGAAATTGGAAAATCTGAGCCCCTCAGCATTTTTGGAAGTAAAACAAACTTTGCACCAGACAAGCGTATAAATCATGCACTGTTTCTCTAGTGTTTAGGGATGATTATGAGAAAAATCCCATGAAAAACTGAAATTTAAGAACTGTCACAAAAACATTAAATAGACGAACTTTAGTAACTTCCTGAATCAGAACTGGAAAACGCCCACAAATTATTTCTTGCTCTGAATCAATTGCTTCCATAAAGAATTCTGACCAGAATAAGAATTGCTGCTTTTCTTTTTCGACCGGAGACAGCGTTGCTGCGCAACGGTTTAGTAGTTTTATATTTTCCATTGTTGATTTCAAAAACCTACCACAGGCAAAAACTTCCACTTTAGTCGTAAATAGAGGAATTATTATCAGAAACAACTAATATGAGGTGAATGAAAAACTTACCACCCGTCAGTTTTCAGTGAAAAAGCAGGTTTGATCTTGATCTATGTTCAAACCCAAATTAAAACACTTCTCTACAAAAGCAACGAAATAGAGCAACAAATCAAAATTTCTTTGTTATACATAGATTAATTTGGTTTCTCAGCTTTTTATTTTCATAGTTTTTAACCAAGATTCCAGGACTAGAAATAGTATCATAAACTCCTAACACCTTATTCACATCAAATTCGTTGACTGAACCAAAATTTTATATTCGGATTCATTAAGAGGCAAAAATAATACTAAACGGTACATTTTTACCGATAACATAAAATGCTTAGCCAAATAAAGTTACCATATGGGTGGTTTCAAAATTGCCATTTTCAGTGCTGCTTGACATGCTTTGGGATAATCTTCAGCTAGTACAGAAACCTCAAAATAAGTTGCTACATCCCAATATTCAGTCAAATTCGCCAGAGCGCCTTTCCTTCCCAGCAAACTGTTAAGCACGACTGCTACAATTTCATAAAGATTTTGCCGGGACTAAATTAAAACTTTATTCTTTAACAGTATTTCTGTATTTTAGCTTTATTTAATTGAAATGTGAATAAAATTTAGTGAATACAAAAGACATTAGAATAAAGTATTTATGTAAATTAGATGAATGAATGTTTTACTGCACATGGAAATAGAAAATGAACACGCTCTAAAGTGCTAAAGATATCATAATTACAAATCATAAAGTACTAAATGACAATGGTCATTACTGACAGTAAACGATATAATGCTGCATACCAATCTGTTGCATCTCACAGTTATTTTCAAATGTTTCACCATTCGCACGCAGTAACGTTATTAAATTTATTCCAGAATATTCCAAAGGCGACAAGTCGAATGCTCGCCTATACCATTCGATTGCTTTATTCAATGATTCATGATCCTCATAATTACTGTTGATGAATTTATCTTTGTAAATACGTCCTGCCAAACAAATTATATCTGGCGATATAGCAGCACTGTCATTACAACTGGCAGTTACCTGCAATACCGTCTGCAAAGCACGATCACGATCACCTTCGTTGTTACGTCTAAAAAGTTTTACTTTAATTCTGAAGTACTTGTGACAAAGACTTAAAATTGTTGAAAATAAAGACTTTCAAGTGAATTTTTTGAAGCAGTAGATCACGAAATAGTTATAATAACAACTTAATCCGACAGTCTACATAAAAGACTGATACGTTTTTGGAATAAACTAAGCTTATGCTCATAACAGTCCGAAAACTTTTTATTTTTTAATCAATATTCTCCATTCTAAAGTAATTTATGAAGATTAAGTGAAAATATTGTAAAACTTGATGAGCAGTTATATAAAACTGGCAAACGCAAGATAAAAAATTAAGTTAAAATGTATTTCAATTAAAACTTCTATAATAATCAAGAACGTTAACCTATTGAGTGCAAAGGCATAGAGAAAACGGATAGCTTGAGCATTCACAATAGAGCAATTTTCAATCCGACTGAGATCATCATAAAGGCTAATGATTGCATCGTAATTTTGATTATCTCTAAAATTTGAATAAAATTATTCGTTTCCAACCTATATTTGAAATTTATGTGTGTAAATCATTTTACAACATTATTTTATAAACCAGCAGAAAGCATACTAAAATTACTGTCGATAACAATAACCTGTAACTCAGCATAAACTGATAAAGTGTATCAACACTCAATACATCCGGATTGTCCAAACGGTGTCTCATTTTATCCAGAAAACGATTAGCTTCAGCAACATCTTGTGTTTCACGTGCTTTTCGGAGATCGGACAAAAACTTTTCACGCGAGTGTGCTGATGCTTCAATTTGCACGCTTTTTAAAGCTTGCTTCATCCTTGAACGGAATGTTATCAAACGTCCACACTTAGTATATGCCTGAAAATGTTTGACTATTTTTTAAATTCTTTCTTGATTTTTGCAACAAAATGTAAAAAACTAACTTTTCGATTAAGTTTTTATTCTTTAAATAATGCAAGTATAGGAATTCAATGTATAAAACGGAAAAACAAGACTACTAAACAATCTATATCAGCATCCACTACTTACGGCACACATAACATGCAGCGATAATAACTATCTTTATATTCCACGATATAGAAGGGTTATTATCATCTCGGACTGTTTATGAATAAATCAATGCAATATTAATTTGCTTAGAATTTAGTACAACAAAAAAACAATGTATATAATCCTTAAACGCGGTACCTTTTCTGTTATCTGTTCAATACCGGCTTTTAGCTGCGTTAAGCTTTCAGTTTTCGAAGCTTTATCAACTGATATCAGAGATGAGCTATCATTTTCCAATATATAAACAATCATTGGTAAATGAGCTAAAGTCTTCTGAAATAAATATCCATCCATGCTGCTTCCATAGAATTCATTAAAAGAATACGAAACACAACTTTATGGCTAAAAGTAAGCATTATAATAGGTTCGTATTTTAAAAAAAAATTCATTAGAGTGTACTTATTTACAATATATAAAGTTTTAAGATAGATCACTTAAAAAGAAAGCAAAATGTCAATGCATATTTTTACAGAAAAACTGCAAAATATTTAGTGAATTCATTTTTAAGATAGATATAACATAATCATCGACCAATCTGTGGTTGATGAATATGTTGCATCTATAACACAAAAATCTCAGCAAGATTTCGTAATATGGATCTCAATATTTATACTAATAAAATCATCTATTTCTGGATATGAGAAGCACACCTTGAGAGCTTTAACGAGCAATTCAGAAGTTTCTTCTGTAAAATGCGTTAGAATAATATTGTATGACTGGCCCATCGACTCACGTACTCCAATATGATAACAAAGACTTGGCTGCTGCTGCGTGATAGAAACATCAACTAGTGCGACATCCGCGTTGTAAAAAACATCAAGTGCATTTGTCTCACCAAAATCAAGACGATCAAAATCTAAGCGCTGTAATGCTCATCATAAATTTTATACAATTTAGGCAAAATTTTCTGATATTTTTGATTCAACTAAAAATATTTTATTAAAAAAAGCAAATCTGATGACTACAAATCCCTTTAATTTTACAAAAATTTGTTCAAAATTCATGAAAATAAAAGAAAACAAAACGTATACTTTCAATAATTCCTATTGCTACTTACCGTCAAATTGACATTAAGCGAGTCCGCTACCTTCTGAACATCATTGCATGCCATTTCCCGTACTTTAATATTTTTTGCCGCTTTCAAATCCATCACTAATACAATCTAAAACCAGCTAGTAAACTGCATCAATATAATGTTACAACAACACACTGCTATAACTAACAAATTATTATTCAACAATTTCAGATTTTACACTCATTTTATACTGGAAATTGTATCTTTCTTTAAAAAAATATAACTGCATTCACTGTGTTATTATTAAATAACTTGATAATTTTTGCAAGAATCATTTACTACTTAGTTTCGGACTTTCATCAATCACTGTTATAGAAAGTTCTTCCTCGTGAACATTATTTTGAGAAATAAACTTGAAAAATGCTTGTGTCTTAAAATATTTATACTTGAAGTTTTCGTGCAAAATGTGCCGCAGTGCTAGTACTATGCTTATCCACAGGCAATGGTGATGTAATAGCAGGTGGTACACGAGCAATTATACCAGCAGTAACCGTCTTCGAAGGTAACGGTAAAGGACAAATGTCCATATTCGATTGTTCAGCCATTATCCAAATGCCTCATTGCAGGTGCTTCGCAAGCCACTCAAACTGTATATCCCACAAATAATTCTTTCCACTGCTTCTATTTGCTGTTTTCTTTATTATTGCATGAAACTAATTCTAATTTTTCATTCGTTATCGCTATAATTGATGAGCATAAATAATATATGCACACGTGACTTCTAATATCACCAACATGCTTATACATACTGGCAAAATAAAAAATCCACCCATTCAAATTTTCTAAAAACCATAAATAATATGACAGCACACTCAAAACGTATCCTCCTATTGGTAATCAATTTTATATAAAATACAAATACCAAATTTCTGAGAAGAAAACATCTTCAATAACTAGCAATGAAAGATGCATTTGGCAACCTTACATCCTACGGCCTTCTTTTGCAACTACCAGGTCTTGCTTACATTTTGAAAATTTTTAATTTCTAGATGAGCTGCAAGGACCAAACTGAGATTTTATTTCAAAATTTAGGCTGAAATCGGTACTGACATAAAGTTTAACCTTATTTACTAATGCTGTTCGCTGCTATTTTTTGGAGACAGTTCTGAAAAATTCCGTACTGTCCTTTTTTCATATTCCCGCGCAGGATTTCCCATGGAGCATAAACTCTAATGTAATTAATGTTTAGCTTCAGAAAGTACTCTTGCTATGTCTTTTAGTTCATTTAAGACTGTGTTAAATTAAGTTGTGGTTTCGTGCTTTGAATAAGTATGTACTTGGACAATACTCTGAATTTCAGCTTATAAAAACTGCTAAGCTTGTGAAGCACCATTAGCAAATTCACTCTTTTAATTAATGCTTACAAGTCCAATTCCTACCAGAAATTTGTAGTGAAATAAATATACTTTAAAAAGTTCACAAAAAAAATCAGTTAAGTAATGTGAATTTTCTGTAAACCCGCCATTTTGAAAATAACTTTTAACATTAGAGCAACTCTTTGTCTGTATAAACACTTCCTAGACATTTGTAGCAAGTTGCCCTACCATGAACAAAAATAGATGTGACCTTTCTAAATATTATTGACTGCATAATAGATCAACTTATAATATTTCTTGCCACATAACTTCCTGATGTCGATGGAGACTAAACACACTAGTTTTTTCTCACAAGATTACTTATAGTTATCAGCTATTTTGAATTACATGTTACTACTGGAAGAACACCAAAGCCGTTAACTTTTATTCAAATTATATATTCGTTCTGATGTTGCCTTTGCTTTCACTTATATCAGTATTCAGTATAATTATGTTTGAGTAGTAAATATTCACAGCATCAGTTTTGATTGATAAATTCAGCTGGCACCAAAAGCTGGTTACGAAAGTGTTCTATATTCTGAGGGTCTTATTCTGAGTTATTGCTGCATTAATCCATCAACATTTTCTCGAAATTTGCCATTTTATCGCTTTCTGCAATTAATACTCGCAAAACTGATAGAAGTAGGAGAGAACAGAAAGATAAAATAATCTAAGTCATAACGAGTTATTGCCTTTTTATAGTAATTTGAATGAACGAAAAAGATTTACACTGAAAGTAATTCTGAAAAAAATATGTTGCAAGGCTAGCTAGCATTAAAATCATTTAAAGTACTAACTGCTGTAAATACCGGAAAAAACATACAATGCAATGTATGTATTATATATAACCCAAAGCTTATCAATTTATCGTTAACTTCCTCACTCTATTTATCCTCTGAAAGACTATTCTGCGTATCAGTTCGTTTAATCTCCTGTTCCTGAGCAATCTATAAAAAATATAAATTTAAATCCATCATAAATCGCCCTTAGTGCAGTTTATCAAAACAGATACCAAATTCGGCCATATTATGTGTGCTTTAACTTTCATAACAATACTGAACTCAAAATAATTCTTAAAAAATTGTCGATAATTATTATTACAAAACAATGCATCTAATAGCTCGTGAAAAATAATTTAATTCCAAATCAATTATAAATAGACTCCTTATAGAAGCTAAATTTGTTACCATTTCAATGATTCTTCTTAAAAAAAGAGCTAGGATGAAAAAAAATGAGAAATCCTAATATTTAATTTTTTCGATTACATTCTTATCATAACTTTTTTCTCCTAACAGACAAAAGTTTGAATGAAAGTGCAAAGCTAAAGATTTAAATTTGATTTTCCATTAAGTTTTGTAAACCTCAATATGTCGTTCCCATCGTTCAATGTATTCTAGTCGTTCTAATTGCCGCCTTTTTTCTACCAAAATGTAAATCGGTGGTGTTAAAATTAATTGTAAAATTATGGCTCCATTCAAAAATGACGACATAATCTGTAAATTTTCACTTGAACACAAAAAATTCAACATTAGTTCAATATATGTAATAATATTGAACATCAACACTTTTTGAGTATTAAAACAGTTTCTGAAATACCTTCTAATTTTTCAATACTATAGAAAATTAAATTAAAAACAAAGCGAATCAAAAAAACACAGAATTATATCCTTCACCCATTCATTCAACAATTTAGAAATGGTAATTTTAGCAAGTTTAGTCTAACAAATTAATTATCCACACAGTAACAACAGCTACTGGATTAATGTTCACTAAAATATGATACTTGAAATCAAAGTTAATACTTACTCGTATACCTTTCGAAACTTCATGAACGATTTTTTTGCGACAACCGACTACTTCTTCTGTATAATATGCCCGTTTTGTTTTATCTAGAATGCTTCTTTCATAAAAAATTATTATTATTACAATATTTGACAAAAATTTCTATGTTGCACATTTTTTATATTAAAATACAAAGTAGAAAATGGATGAAATATAATATATTTTTAGAGCACGCTTATTATCTGTAGTTTGATAAACAAGAATTCAAATCAATTACTTATCTCTATAATCAATTTCAAGAAGAGTCGAAAACTTTTTTCTGAAATTGATTGCAGTGATAAGTAATTGGTTTCAATTTTTTTCTGTTTGCTAACTTCTTAATCTAATTCTTGTTAAGTTATGAATTTCAATAATATATCAAAAATAATCGATAACAGTTGGAATAATCAAAAATTAAAATGAACTTTTAGATAAGTAAACCGAGCATAAAAAGTTTGTCTGAGGACAACAAGAATGCGGAAATCGTCGTGGTAACGAGCTATTTGACCACCAGAGATCAAACTTTGTCATCTGAAACATTTTCAACATCATTTATTGATGTAAAGTTTATTGCTAAACTGAATTTCTGCTGTGATTCCAAATTAAGTTTGAAAAAAAGAACACCAGAACAGAGAAACAAAACTGAAAAATGCCTAGTATTTACTTATTCTAATTTTCATTCAAATCATTAGTTTTAAATACAATTTAAATGTAATGGATGAATAATTCTTTTAATTGCTACTGCTTTTTATAGTAGTACGAAAAAACCTTTTCATGCATAAATTCCCCAGAATACAGTCCCAACCATTCGTATGATCCTTCAATACCACAGCATTCCAATTGTTGCTGCACCATTTCAACCTTATTATTAAATATATTGTATATCTTTTTTTCTTCACAAGAACAAGACAATCACTAATTGTTTTTCCATACTAGCAAGAATTTGTTCAGGTCAATGATTTTTTCCTTAGCTTTTTATACTTTAAAATAGTAGGAAAATGACAAAAACATACTATTTCTAACTGTTGGTCAAGTTCTTTCAAAATTAGCTTATTTTCTGCAAGGTCACGCACACCAATAATAGTTACGTTCATTTGAGCAGTGTCAGTATCATATACATTTGTGGAAGTGTTCGAAAATCCTTGTACCTCAGACACATTGTACTAAAACTCTCTTTATCAAACCTTGACTGCGTAAACTCTTGATAAAGTTGCGATTAACATCAAGTAGCATTGATTTATTCTAATTTGTTTTATCAATTTATCAATAACGATGGAATTAAAAATCACAAATTAATTTCTTACAGTTTGACAGTAATTGAATGAATTTATTGGAGTAAGAATGGATGTTCAAAGTAAATTAAGCTAAACATACATTAGGTGCTGTCAAATTCGATGAATAGTGGTGAATTAAATTAAAGTTATCAAACCATAAGCAATTAAATGCATCAGCTGAGGCATGTGATGCTGTGAAAGCAAGTATTAAGCCTAAAAAAAACCTACGCTCAGAATTTTCCCATTTTTCAAAATTCTTATTCTTTATTAAAAAGTATAAAAAAACTATCAAGTTATTATTATTGTATTCATAAGCACTGAAACATTTCAAAAGTAAGAATGCCGTATTTAGTTGATGTTTGAATATTAAATGCATGAAAAGTTTAGAGTTCTCAAAAATGCTTGTAAGGACAAGAATACAAACTAAAGCACTGTACCTGATATACCAAAAGGAAGGAAAATGATCAGTTGACAAGATAATGTTATCATCAGGAAGCATTTCAATTTTTCATAACTGCTACCCAACAGTAGCAGAAACGTCATAATATCAAGGATTACCACAATACCTCAATTTTTACAAATTAAATTAAAGAATGAGCATTAAATAAATTTCAATCCCTAAATATGTTTATTGAAAAGAATAAAGAGAAAAAAGCTTATCGTCAGCTTATCGTCAAACTTAAAACGAAGTTATTGCTTCTTCCTGTTATCAATTTTAGTCGATCAACGTGAGTACGTAGTAAAAGTATTAAACTTTTCGTCTATATTTATTTTTTGTTAAATTTTCATTAACAAATGATCGTTTCATTTAAAACTTTTGAATAATTTTCAACTCACTGAAGTTAGCAAGTTCTATCGCTTAAAATTAAGAAACAGCCATAATTTACCGGAAAATAAAGCAAATTGTGCGATATATTCAAATAAATGATTTTTTCCATACATTGCGATGTCAAGTAAATAAGGTCTTACTAATAGCGTTAGTGCTTGATAAGCAACTGAAAATCATCAAAATGAATAAATACTTCCTCATTTAATGCTATGTGACCAAAATCAGTAACAACTAATTTCATGATGAGGTAAGGTATAACCTTTTACTTGACAATCATTAGTGATATTTTTTCTGCGCAAAAAAAGTCTTATATTATTAAGTTCCAACATAATATGCAATGTCAAGTCATGCTTCATAACCTTATCAAAATCTTATGCAATACAATGCTTAAGTAGAATATTTGATAAGTGAAAAGACTACAGTAGATTGGTAACAAAATAATCCTTAACCGATAAAAATTGCGCAGGTTTTCATAACCATCAGCAGTATTACCACTATCCAACAACTCGATCGACCCATAATTCTTATAAATAAATAATGGAATCTAACCGTCCTTCATATCCAGATTACAGCGAATGACACAACGGTGTGCTTCCGCATTCTTCTCAAATGTAAATTTCTATGACTTTTTAGAATATCGTTAAATTACCATAGACCCGTCTTGTTAACTTTATTATCTCATCATTATATACATATATATATAATTATGAGATCACGAGATTTCAAGCCTCCTAGAATGGCAAGAGCATGCACATTATACAGATACTGCATTAGCAATAGAAAAAGCAAACTATATACCACCATTTATTTTACTTGAACAAGTTTGTAAGCTTGCAAAATCAGAAAAGCAGTATTATGTACTTCTACTGCTTCTAATCGTAACATACGGTCCTTGAGAAAAACAATCATTAAAAAATATAAAAATTTCTGATATGATATCCTTCACTGATACGTTATTTGCAACAATACAAATTTTTTGAATTGCGAACAGTTGCAGTACTTTACAGTGTTTTGTACCTCTATTATTGCATTTCAAATACAAGAATAACTTAAGAATAAAATAAACCGTAAACATCTCAAGATAGCAGTTTGCATTAAAATCGAATAACACAGCTTACAAAATAAAATGACGGATAAATCAAGCTGTGTCATGAAAAATAAAAACCAATAACTCTGTTTTTCAGGACAATTAGACAAAAAGTTAGGATATCATATCAGTGAAGGAGGAAGAATATAGAAACAATTACCAGAATATATCTTATTTTCAAGAACAAACTAAAATTTTAAAGAAAATGCAAATGCAATTTTTGGTTAATAACAGTTTACCACAGAGAACACTGTAGTAGCACATATATACTGCCAAATATTTTTTTTTAAATCCGATAAGCCGAAACCAAAATTTATAGGGTGTCTTGCGCTACTGTATACTGCCCTTATCGATCTTTATCTCGTTCCTTTTCTTTGCGACTGCTTCGCTCTGAAAACAATACAATCAGAAACTTCACACAAGCACTTTTTTATGCAAGTGATCTTCCACATTATTTTATCTTTGTAAATCACGATCTACCAATTTAATGAAAGAATAAGTATGGGTCAGTCGAAATGAAAGTTTAACTAGAAATCACTGCAGCTTATCATCATAAGACTTTATGTGAATCCTTCCAATCTCTCTACTCATGAGATTGGACATTTTAAATCACTATACTAACAGGATATTCAAATGTCAGCATATATTCTTTCCAACTGTAGACTTGATGCTATGTAAAAATCAAAGTAGTATAAAAAATTTTTTCAAAACAGTGAATAAATTAAGATAATATTTAAACTATTTTTTTTTGGAAAACTGACTGTATAGCTCATAGCAATTTAGAAGCAAATTTATTTAAAACTGAATAACATATGTGTAAAATGCATTACCCCTATCACGATAATCTGGTGAACGATAACGTCGATCTCGACTTCGTTCTCTTTCACGTTCTATATCTCGGTCTCTAATCCGATCCCCATCACGCTCACGGTCTTTTGAATGGCTTCGTTTGCGAAATGAGAACTGTCAAAAAAAGGATATAACTTTATTTATTTCTCATTTTGCTTAATATATATGACTGAAAAAAACTTTTTTAATCTTAAAAAAATTTTAGAAAAATATTTTTGATTGCACAAATTATACTTCTAAAAAATAAAAATTCATATCGTGCTAATTACGACACAAATATTCATCCTAGTATATAGAAAAAACATGTATATACTTTTGATTGGTCTTTTCTTTTAATTCGACTTCTTTCCTCTTCTTCCTCATCATCAGATTCCGATGTTGATAATTTTTCAAGATCTTCGTCAAGTGCACTAACATATGGATTCAGTTCTCCTATTTCTTCTAGAGTGATTCGTTTCTGAAATTTTCCACTTCACATTTTTAGAAGGTAAAAGTTGTAAATATGTTATTGAAAAGAACACTTGAGAGTCAAAAAGTATTTTGTCAGAAAATGACAGCTATAGTTTGTCTTCAGGGTTTTCAAAATCTTTGAAAGAGAGACCAATTCTGCATCTCAAGCTTCAAACTACGGTGACAGTAACTTTACAAAAAATTTAGGCTTTCAGAAGCAGATAATAACTCAAATATGAAAATTATTCCTTACTGGTTAGTGGTCCATGAGAATAAGCAAAGCTTTTGAATTATAAAAATAAGTTACATGAAAAACTCGAATTACCTGCAGCCTTGGCAAATGAATGTCACAATACCGATCTTCTCGCAATAAATTGTCGATAAATTCATCCACATAAATAACTTCAAACTCTACAAACAAGAATTAATGTTATATTGACCTCCTAGATTACATGATTTCTTTGTAACAATAAAGAAATAGTATATGTAATAATTTTACAATGATAAAATAGTAGCCTACTTCCTTGTCTTGTCATCATCCGCATCTTCCGATAATCATTGTATAACGGTTCTAGATATTTATAAACTTCGATAGAGGGGAACGTGAGACGGATATACATGGCTCCAAGTGCACGAATGTACCTAAATCAAAAACGTCATAGCAAAACAGTACTTAAATAAATTTTTTAATCAATTAAGAGTCCACATAAGAAAAAACTTACTTGTAATCTTCTTGTCTCAGGAACTCAACTATAATGTCCTTTTCAGGTTGAATTTGCAACATTTTCAAACATAGACATAAAAATGGCGTAGGCTTCACGTTCCCGGCATATACTCCACCAACATAGCGTAATTCCATTCCTTGATCCACTAGCAACTCAGCTATAAACTCACGAATATTTTAGTGCATTGAAAGTATACATCAAACATTATGTGTAGTAACGAAATCTCTATTCAGATCATTAAAATCATACGAAATAAAAATATGCTTTATTTTTAGCATCAATTTTTTCATTGAAATATAGCAGTAACGGCATATATCTAAAATGGATCTTTTGTACAATGTATATTTGTGAATTTTTTTGAAACCTAATGTTAAGAATCTAGATTGCTCTTTGATCTTAAAATAAAATATCCTAATACTATTTTTTGAATCACATACCGGTCAAAGCGAAGCATTCTTCTTTCCAGTATTTAGAATCATATATTCTGGTTCGTATAATTTTCTCTATCAAGTATTGTGGATTTGTACCTCTTACGGTAACTGCATCTCTAACAGTTCGATTGGCCATATAACTAAAATAAAATTAGTGCTCAATTCTGGAATTATTATCCACATATCATGTCATTACTGATAATTATGTTCAAATGAAAAAAAAATCAAAACAAATGCTGAAATAATATGACTCTTAAAGTAAATGTTGCAAGAAAATTACTGTAAAATATATAAATTAGTATACAACAGTAGTAAAAGATAAAATACCGTACAAACCACATTATTCACCACTCTAACGAATCGTGATACTAAACTTCATGAAATAACTACAGTACTAAAAAACAAACGGTAAAATAACGATTTTAGCAGCAATTTTTGCTTGTCAGCACTTAACATTGTCACAGCACAGCTTGGCATGAGCATGACTTGCGACAAAAAAATTCAAAAGAACCAGACTTGCAGGGAGGCGGAGAAAAAAATATATCGCAAGGAACTGTGTGAGTATCTGTAACTTGAGAAAGGGTTAGTTCAGAGAGTTTACCGCGAAGACGGGAGTGTTTAATTAATCTTGCTGACCGTTGAGTATTTCTTGAGGTTTATAGATTACTTTCGTTAGTTTTATTGGATTACGTGCTAGAAGTCGGCTTAAATTATTGTGATTTCATTTATGTTTTAAATTTCAGTGAAAATCTATTGAATATTCGCTAAAACTATCCAGAAAATGAATACATCTCATGGACAAAATATGGGTTCTCCTTTAAAAGAAAATAATGATGGAAGAGAAGGACGCAGAATATCAGTATCATCTACAGATTCTTCGGACATGCTAAAGTGTGTATAATATTTATCCTCTTTTTCATTGAAACTGATGTATAGTATTAATTTACTTTTTTCCTTTATGGTTTTTAGTTTGACAAAACAGCTGTTGTTGTAATTCGTTATAGATTTTAGCAATTTATATTTAGAGCTTATTATGACAACTATTTTACCTTTAGCAAGTGATTTCTGTTTGTTTATTAGTAAAAAATCTGTATTCAAAATTCAGTTTTTAAGTCATTAACAAAATCATGTTGTGAATAGCATTTATAGAAAAAACAAAATTCATTAACCTTCAGTTAGTTACGTTTTACTCAATTAATTAGATATCTGCAAATATTTCTGGAAATAGAGATAACTGAAGACATCAAAAAACTGCATCATCACAATTTGTTACCATTGAATTCGCAAATTCTGATGCAGAAGTCATGTGTATGTAAATTTATAGCACTACTATTGTTAACTTTCAACACAAAAACTATTTTAAAGTGCAAAATAATCGAATGCAAACTCCAAAAGCTAGTTTTACAGTGATCTTTCGGAAAGGTGTGCTGATTTCGGATTGAGCACCTCTCTTTTGGAAAAAGAGGCTTTTGCAGCGATACATGAAGTTGGATTTGCTGTTCAAATGATATCAATGCCAAAATCACTGCCAAGGAGTCCCAATTTAATTTTTATGAATCTCATCACTTTAGAAGGTATTTCCTGTCAAGTAGGTGCAAAATTCAAGTTCTCTGTTATTATTTACCTCGTTTTATGTAAGTACAACTATTCTTTATTTCCGACATTTGTTTTTAAGTATATTTTTACAAGCTGGTACTGATTATTTACTTGATAGTAATCATTGTATCTATTTTCTCTCCCGTTGTTATTATTTCTTTATCTACTGGGACGTAAACACCCAGTTCAAAAAAAAAGGCAAACAAACAAAAAAAACCTTGAAAAGTCACCATATTAGGATCTGCATTTCATTTATCAAGTTTACTTAGTACTTTCATAAGTTCCAAATTAAACTGCAAGTTCTGGCTACATCATGTAAAAACACTTATTTTACCCGTAGCAAGTGATGACGGAATCATATTTCACCTTTTTAGCATTGCATTATCTTTAAAAAAGTCAGAGCGTTATAAATTCAGTTTGAAATCTGTGTAATAGAAGTTGCAACTCTCATTATTTAATTAATTTATTTTGAACATAGTTAATATGTTCAGGAGTTTAACTCAAATTTTATGATGGTTAATTCATTTTGCTATTTTAGGCTTTATGTATTGTATTGAATTGACTCAGCGTGGATGGCGCATTGCGTCAGATCGTCTCGACAGTATTGGCAATGAATGTCGAAAGCGCGAGTCATATACTCGTTATTTTGAAACAATTAATCAGCTGCTCAATGTGATTTCACCTGAATTTCGAAATCAGTTTGCTAAAAAGCTCAGCACTAAACTTAGTGCTCTAGCCAGTGAAATTTCGGGTTTCAAAAGCACTTAAGTCATTTAAAAAATATATCAGTAGTTACTGCTGAAAATAGATATGATTTCGCTCATTATTTTTGTTTTAAAAAATTACGAAACTTCAAAATTCTAAACAGCAGGTTGTGAATCTTCAAAATGTCGGTGTAAATCAGATATGAAAGATTTTTTTATTCGGAAGATACTTGTCAAGATATGGAATAGATCTTAATTTTTAAATAGAAAAGGGTAGATAATTTCGAAAATATTACCAAAATTTTAACACTTTTCTTAACATGTGGAAGTCAAGCCGACCTTAAGGCTGTACAAATAAACCTTTTCACCTTATCATAACTGATTTACCGTCAATTTTAGTACAAATATTTATTAATTCTATTACTGTTGAAATATCTCCATTTTTTTGGAATAATTCATCAGAATGTATTGGTACGAGCTTTAATTATCTATTGAAATATTATGTGACATATGATAAAGGATTTAATTTTAAGTGCAATTAGATATGATACTCTAAGAGATAGTCAATTTATTTCTAGAAATATCAAGAATAATTCGTGATACTTCTAGGAATAAATGGGCCATTTTATCATCCATATTATATTCGTTATTTTCCTAAAGTGAAAAACCTGAGTTAATATGAGAAAAATTGTTATCATATTTGATTCAAAGAGTATATGTTTAAGTCGCTTCCTTAGAGTGCATTGAAATCTAGACAATAGTATTAACAAAAAAACTGGTAAATCCACTGTTAATGAAATTACTCCATTTCTTGACACTATAATTGAGGCGCTATTTTAGGTAATAGAATAATGTGGGTGGTATGTGCTGGTTGTTCGTTATAATTGTAGAAGGCATTATATATATATATATGCAGGTGCAGCGGGTTAAAGGTTAATCTTTTCTTTTTCTTGAAGATTCTCGTGTTAGATCGTGTTCTCACACTCTCGATGACTTGCCGGGCACTCAATTCTGCTGGTTCGGGTGCTTTTCTATAATCTTCACGGAGCTTTTTTCAACTATCTCATCTGTTTTCCATTTGTTTCAATTTATGGTTCCAGGATCGGTTTCTTTTTTTGCATCTCCTGTTTTGTAATGCGACATGACTAGTTCTAGATGGCTCGGTAATTCGGCAGATCCAAGCAATATATATGTTTCATCAATCCATTTTAGGTAGGAAGTGATAGAGCCTCTAAATTCTTTATTAATAGGTGCACCTTCTTGCATACAGACCTGATCAGTTGGAACCATCCAGACCTGTAAAAAATACTAAAAGTATTTGCCTTAATGGGAAGAACAGGATCCATCCGTGGTCTTACAAAGGAACTACCTGCCTGATTCTAAAAGGTGTCCCAAGTAAACGCATGGACTTCAGGACAGTAACTTGTATATCGAGCCTTTACAAATTGGTAGCGAACTGTGTGGGACGTGTCATGCAGTTAAGGTTGCCATGGGAAGGCTACTTGCAAAGAACAAATCAGGAACTGTTACCTAGGTTCAAAGTGGAAAAGAACAAGCACTGTTGAACCTAACGGTTTGCAGAGAGGTATCCAAAAGTGACGGTTCCAACTGATCAGGGGATGCGCACAACAGAATCATCTGTTGTTTGTGGATGGCCTCAAGATCTTTGAGATCGAAGATATCATAAAATCTATGCGAAAAAAATTGAGTAGTTTCTTGATATGGTAGGACTGGAGGTGAATCTAGCAAAGTCAGCCATTAACATCGAGGTATGTTCTGATAAGATGGCGCTAGTAGAAGAGTACAAATACCTTGGAATAGTGGAAGATAGGACTAGTGCACTTACCCGTGAAAGCTACAATAAAGTCCGAGTAGATTTTAGTGAGAATTGAGCAATTAGCTAAAACTGCACTAAATGGCAAAAGCTTTATCAAGACGGTGAATGAGCATGCCATAAGTATAATAAATTATTACACTGAAGTGCTCAAACTGGGACCAGAAGATTTCGAAACCATAGACCACGGTATCAAATAGTTACTATACAGATACGGAATTCATAACCAACTTGCACGTTTGAAGAGACTGTATCTGCCAAGAGACAAGCTAGAACGTGCTGGGATGGCTTGAATTCTTGAACATCAAAACTTGAATTTTTGTGTGAATATTACCCAGATTTCTGGAGATAAAGTTAAAGTAGTTGTAGCAAATTTGGCCTTCAAATATTTAGTAAAGAATTTAGTGACTTTCTACACAAATCATTTATTCCTGTAATAATGGTGCATAGGTTCAAACAGGTACTGTCTTTACATTTATATTTACAGCATAGAAATATACGTGAATCAGGAAATTTTTATTCAGAAAGACATAAAATTATTGCATTCAGTGATTATGTCGAACCTGCAAATATTAAACTCTTTTATTAATAGAGTGAGCATTTCTGCTCTTCTACTTAATTTTCTAATGTAAGAAACTAAAAGTTGGATCTTATTTTGGTGGAAAAGCGACTAATACAGCAGACGACAGCGTAAAATTACAATAAATATTTTATTACTGTAAGGAAGTCTAATACTTTGATAGTAATTTCCTTCAATAGAAAATTAATCTATTATATTTATTTCTGCAATAAAAATGATAATTATTCTCATTAGAGTACGACTCGAATAATCGTATGCAATTTCCAATGCATTAATTTCTGTTGATATTATGTATCTCAAGATCTTTTTCATGATTGTTGTGCAACAAGTACGAGTATGAGCGTTGACCTCATTAGGTATTCTAAAAAAATTGGGACTAAAAAGCTGCAATGAATAAAACTACTAGAACTTTTGACTAAGTAAACAAGTCTACTGAATCACAATTGCTAAACCTATCTTATATTCGGTCCTGCGCATAATGTAACTATTAAATTGTGATGAAGTATTTTATTTGTCATTGATCTCAGTTTTATTATTTAGCATTCAACAATTATGTTATTCTGAAAGAAAACTTTATTAAATTCCATTCCTGCGCAAAGATACCATTATTTGATGGTAGTAATCAAATGATATCATTAATTAATCAAAATAATATAGCGAATGGTGTTGGCATATAGTAGTGAATGTAATTTGTGATAAAATAGGTCCTATTTTATTATTAATCACAGAAAGGAATTTTAGTTTAATTAAATGACAGTCATTTGATTGATAGTTAATTATACAATTGGTAAACGACTTATCACTTTACAGACACCATATACGAACTTTTGCCGACTCGTCTAACATTTTAACATATTTTTACGATAACATTTTGACAAGTATTTCCTTTATTTGTTAAGTTAAAAAAGTTTTTGATTACAAATAAAGTTTTTAATTCTTAGTTCAAGTATTATTTTATGTGTTAATTTTCAAGTTTTAATTATAATAAGCAGACATAATATTTTTTAAGCTAAAAAAAAAATAAATAGTCAAAAATTATTAATAAACTGAACTGCTCTTTCCATCAAGTAACCATCTATTCTATATTACATTAAAATAAATAGTCCACTTTCAACTAAAGTAAAAAATGTTTAAAGTAAGCACTGTGAAGGGTTTAATTTTGTAAAAATTTGTATTAATATAAAAATAAAAATTAGTAGTAAGTAAATGCTCCGAATGTTTGCTAATAAATTTGTGCAAAGGTTATATTTGATAAAATTTGAGCAGTGACTTTTAGTTTATCGTAAATACTTATTTCTTGAAGTGTTCTTTTGAAAAAAAAGACTTTTTTACGCTCAGTTTTTATGCAAATATAGCTTTTTTTTTCAAAAAAAAACTTTGCTACAGAATCGTTGAAAAATTAGAATTATATTTGTCAATTATTTTGAAATATAAGACAAAATTCCTAATTTACAGCTTAAATTCCTTTCGATTCAGCATTTAGTCATCTATTCACATTTCTTTCCAAAGAAATATAAAATACTGGATTAAAATTACAAAATCCATCTGTAAAACAAGTTTCAGCGTAAACACTTGTAATTGCCATAAAAATTGCTTCAAATTTTGCTTATTGTTCAAGAACGAATATAAATTAATTTCTAGTGGATTAAGTTAAATTCAGATAATTCTACTCAGGGAATTATATAATCATCATTTGAGCTACTTTCAGATGCTCTTTTTTAAATTCTCTCTTCTTAATCATTCTTATTTCTTCTAATTTATTTATACAATGTTGCATCTTCTGTATCTAAAATACTTTGCCATTTATATGGTAAATTTGTAAAGTATTTTGAATTAATTATGAAGAGGTAAATATGTAAGACAGAAATTCTATAAGCATATCTTATCTATCCCTTATATTGCATTACCACGTCAATTTGCTATTTACGAGCATCTTAGCCAGTTTTTTTGCATACTGTGAAGAAAACTGTTTTAATAACGACTGCATCATTTAAGCATACTTGATAACAAATCATTATACCTACTCTTAAAAAACTATTTTTCTAAGTAATTCAAAATTTTCTTCTGATTGTAAATACTTATCTTAGAAATTTCGCTCTTCAAAATACAGAAAATAGCATTTGCTAATGGCAGAGAAGGATGAAACTGTTTTTCACAGAGTTACTGCGAACTTGAAGTATGCTTGCTACTCTTTACAGTGAATTTAGATTAAATTATTTTAGTAAATTTTAGATAATTTATGTCATTTTCTCACTTTGAAAGTAGTGAAACAATATATTAAATTATAAGATTCATTATGTTCAAATCACCTTTGACCTTTACTGGCCCCTATTGAAATACCTCTATCTTTTCCATCTACTTAAGGATTAAGACGCAAAATATGACCTAATTGGAAGTCCTTTTTCTTCTAACATAAATACCTGGTAATTACCGTCAATCGGTGGATATAAGAATAAATGAATGAATGATATTGCAGGGTGTCAGCATTCTTTTCATGCTCAATTTTTTATCTTTCATTAACTCAAATAATCACTGAAAAGAGAATGTGAAGGCTATATGGCAATAAAAGCAGAAAGTAGCGCTATTTTTTTCAAAATAAAAGCAGTTTCATGGAAAATGCAAATGCAGTGAAGTCAGCTGTTTGCATTTATAACTGAAACTACTCATTATACTACTAGTGATTAGATTCTGTTGCATTTGTTCAATTCAAAACACTATTCAGAGTTGTTCTTATTACAAATTAGTGATAATGATATCATTCATAGAATCAGTGAGTGAGGTGTCACATTGGACAGATTTATTCGTATTTGAAATGCAAAATCAAATTTTATGAGATTAACAGATAGCACTTTTCTTCATCTTCCAAATGTTTCCTTTCTTTTTTCAATAAGTAAGAAATTTGAATCAAAAATTTTGTGAAATGATATTCTAAAAAGAATAAATTGGTGATCTGTTTGAGTATAAAAAGTAATTACTACTATAATTACTATATTAGTTACTATCATCGATACCGTACAATTGGATCTATTCACATGCAATTGTTCATTTCATCCATCTTTCGATGTGCACTTGATTTTTTTTTTAAAAAAAAACATTCATATCAATTAATGTTTCAAACTAATTTAGTTTAATTTTCATAGTTACAATTACTGTAATTATGTGTTAGAAGTAACGAGTCGTTCTTGTAATGATTACGGGAAGTAATTGCGTCTTCGGCGTTGCGATAGCGTCTTGCAAGAGGACTCATTGCAAAGAAGAGTGTTGTCCCCGCCCCCTCACGTGTGCTGTATGCAATAAATGAAAAGTAAGAAGAAAGTGATAGAAAGCTTTCTTTCGTCTGTCAATCATTTCTTTACTTTCATAAGCGAAAAAATTATTGTACAGTCTCCGTTGTGATTTGCGTGTTTTGTATATTACGCTTTCTTATTCTGTAATCTATTTTTGGTCATTGCGAACAAATTATTGATAATGCGGGCTGCATTCGCACTTTCATGGAATGTTGAGGTTTGGGTTCCTTTTTTTCTTTGTGCCAATATTCATTTTTTATACAAATAAACGAAATATTTATAGCAAGATATGCTAGATTGTAGTATGTGATAGACATTTGTTTTTAATGCTTTTGATTTTTTAGTGCTTAAAATTTCATCTGCAGCATAAATTAATTACTTAATCAGTTTATTATTGAACAATTTTTAATTTGTATTTACTTCTTCATTTTTTATTATTAATTAATTTTATTTTGTATTGTATTCAATGCTAAAAGGGATGGGAAAACTTTAGACTGAGAAAAAAGTTTCGAAGAGAAAAACGTTTGCCTCTTTGAAGCTAATTAATTGACTATTTGAGTCATTAGACTTCTTTTCAGTGGTTGGGATCATTCTCGGTGTCAGGAACGGATCCCGAAACGGTGTCACAACGGTTAGACCGATTCAAGCCTCAAAAACCTGCTATTGCTGTACAGCTTTCTGTTTCAGTTTCTAGTGTAAAAGTTTGTCCGATTGATAATAATGAGGTAAAGTTTTAAACTCATTATCATTAAATTAATCAAAACTAAAATTTATGCATTATATGAAATTTATTATTACATCTTATTTGTATTACTTGACTATTATAGCCTATCGGAACTCAAAATGTTTCTAACTTTGGCAGCAAACTTGTTGCTTCAAATGCATAAAATTCTTATTTGGTTAATCTTTATTGACCCAAACCTTCAGTTGAATATGATATGCAAATTAATAATTGTTTATCATTCTGTATTTTATCGCTGTTAAACTTGCAATAGATAACCAATCAAAACTTATGAGTTTTGAATTATTTTTGCACATTTTTCACGTACAATTATATACTTCAGCTGCATTCTTAAGCTAGCTTGATATTGCTTCAAAAATCATATGCCTCTATCGTACTAAGTTTTTTTAATTTCATTACCTGCATTAAAAATGTCTTACATCTTATACACGTGATATCTCAAATTGATTCTGAAATGAGTATTAGCTCGCATTTTCACATTAGAATTTTTCAAATTTTGACTTGACTATTCTTACTTCATTTCTTACTTGTTCGCATCCCAAATAAATATTAAATGTATTTAGTTTCGTAAAATGCACTGTAAAATGCATTTTTGCGACTCTTTTGCGCTTCCTGAAATGCATCAAAAGTTTCATACTACTTTTAGAATTCCATCATCAAAAATAATTGCCGATTACACAAATAAGTTATTTCTAAATTATGTAAGCATGTAGAATGTAGAATGATTGTTGTCCTTTGTAATTTTCACAAAATTTACTGATTTAACGCGTAATGAAAAAAGTAAATCAGATATTGTACTTTCAGCTATTTCTGATGCAAATAAAGGTATTTGAGATCAGAGCGAAGATTGAAAAAGACAAGTAAAGCATTTCACTGAGAAGCTATTTTGTGGTTAGTTGATCATATCGACCAACGTATTATAAAAAAGGTTATATCGTTATTACCACATAAAAACAGTATTCTCATATTTTGTATTTTGCCCTTTCCATTTAGCTCAAGCCGCCAAACAGCGCAAACATGTGGCTAGCGGTCATTTGGTTATTTTATTGCTAGGTCATATGATCTACTTACTCAAGGCTAATATTACATCTTGGTTCAAACATTTTTGACTGATGACTCTTTGAATAGACTTTGTTAATAAATTATTTGAGTATATATTTAGTTCAATGAATTGTGCAGTTATAATGCACATTCAAAAATTTGAGATTAAAGTGTATTTTATTAGCAAATATATCTACCACTATATTTTGAAGACAAAATTTTTCTGTCCAAAATTATTAATTTATATAAAATCTTAGTAGATGTTTTAATCAATTTGATACATAGAAGCATTAGAAACTGAAACGTATGTTACATGAATTAATTTTCCAAATTAAGAAAATGATCCTTTTTGTTGCCATATATATTGCAATAATAAACGCATATTTTTGACCATTTGTTTTTTTTTTCCATATTAATGACGAATCTGATATATTTCTAAATAAAGTAGTAATTAGACTTCTCTTCAAAACGCATTCTTTCCGAATTGTTCAAAGTCAATTGAAAATTTGATGTATTTTCGATGATAGTTTGCGAATTTTTTGAATTCTATTTGCAAAAGAAATATGAATTAGTATGATATTTTAAACGTTTATTCAATGAGGCGTGTTAGACGTTAGACTATAATTAGTAAACGGAAAATGGAGGTAAAGTATTCCATTAAAAGTGTTGATTATTTTAAAAAAAATTATAAGAAAATAAGAGATAAAATTGTAAAGAAAGAAATGAAAGCTATTAAATACGTATTTGAAATTAGTCAACATGCAGCAATTTTTACATCAGCTGATAACTGACGTTTTTCTGCAGTGTAGCGGTATTAAATGAATGAATTACATTCTTGCAATAAATTTTTGACTTACCTAAAGTGAATTAAAAATAGAAAGTAGACGAAAAAAGAAAAAATTAACTGCAAACATATAATAATACAAAATTGGAGTTAAGTTAAATTAAATTAAATGCTACGAGCAATTTTTCTTTACTTCTTTTTTTTTTTAGAATTCGCAGTAAAGTAGAAAAAAATATGAATTATATGCATTTCGTTCCGATAATAAATTGGGTATTTATATCATAAAAAATTGAACCAATCTGTTTTATGTCTGCACTATTACTTACTAAAAATATCATCTGTTTTGATGATAAATAGCCTAAAGCAATAACAAATGTTTTATAGTGAAGCACTTACGACATTTTCATAGCTAACTTGAATTTAAGTTAAAATTATCGTGCTTAAATTAGAGTATAACTTTGAACGCAGTTGTTTATTATTAGAGAAGAATTGGAAGTTGAATTTTAGTTTTATTATATGTAAATTCATAATTCTCTTTACAACTTATTATAATATTAATATGGATTTTGTAAACATGTATCAAAAAGCGTCAATATTGAAATTAATACGTACAACGACTGTAAAATCTTTTTGCATTTTAATATTGTTCAATTTATCCAGCAAACACATGAAGTACTTTTTATACCAGTTCTTACACTGTAAAAAATTCTTCAATAACACTTTTAGCATACTTTACATCTCAATATAATACTTGTTAATGTTATTCTCAAGTGATTTTTCACATCGTTTTAGGTAATGTCAAATTGCATTTTAAACTGCATAATATTAATTTATTATAAAGAATTAACTACTTGTATGCAAATTTAATCCCAATTTTATATGAACTCTATTTTCTCATAATGTCCATATATATTTTGATGTTATTGCTTTTCTTTGTTCTGTTAAGAAATTCTCTAAATCCCATGATTGAATGTATATGAAAAAAGATTTCCTCTAATTGCAAGCGTACTAAAATATAATAATTGTAAGCATTTTTGCACTCGAAATTTCTGATAGTGTCATAAAAATACAAAGCAATAATTAATTCGTAAAATGAATAATCAAATCTTATCAAATTTTATTAGCAATGGAGCAAAAAAGAACATCACGAATGATTGTTATGTTCTGACATTGATAAATTTTCAAAGCAACATTTCTACTTTTGCTTAAGAATTTTCAAATGAATTTTTGTATGTTCCGAGAAGAAGAATGATAAGAAGCATGCAAAGTTTGAATTTATATTTCCATTTTTTTGGTTTTGTAATTTCAGTCTAAATTTTCAAAGTGTAAGCAAAGAGAAGATAGAAAATATCATCAGCCAAGTACTGATAATATTTACGAAGTGACAACGCGAATTTATTCAAATTTACGATTGCATTTCAAACGATAGATTGAATTATTCGTTCATTAACTTTTGCGTGTAAAATGGCAAAACTTGTATTTGTGTAATTTTCACATTTTTTCATTATATTCGCTATTTTTTTGTTCAAACTAAGGTCATACTTTATAGTAATTGAATAATACTGTATTAATCATTAACTGAAACTGGATGCTAAAAGTGGCATGAAATCTTTGTGTAACTGAGTGCTCGAAAATTTTTCAAGCAAAAATTTAATATTTTCTAAACTAACGATTGGTTCTTTCACTTTTTTGTAATTATTATCGCAATGCATTTGCAAATTTTGCCAAATTTCAATATTTACTGGACATACGCTTCATTCATAAATAATAAATAGGTGTAATACTGTTAATTTTGTCTACTTTTTGATTTCAATCATCATTTCAATTAATTATCAGTTATTAACTACAAACTAATTAAAGAAAAAAAACTTGAAATTATTATGATAATTATTCATTAATCACATATGCGTAGTGATTAATGAGTTAATTGTCATAAACTAAAATTTCACTCGAAAGTACACATTTGCATAGAAAAATTTCTACAAAATTGAATAATGAATTTAAAAATTTTTCATAAATAATTTATAGTTCTTGAAAAGGAAATAGAAAAAGTAATTTGACCTTGCAAAAATTTTTCTTAACGAAAATTTTACTTTTAGCTTAGTGATAATTATTCTTGTTTCATGTCAGCAGTAATCACTAGTGATTAGAATAAATAAGCAAATAATTATTTGCAGTAGAAATTAGCAGAACTGAATATTTCATTTAATTTTTGCATAAAGTAGTAAAATTTTTATGTTTAGTTTCTTTGAATTAATTGACCTAGAAACAAATAAAATTAGTTTCTAATGATAAAATGATATATGAGATGAATTTTGAATAATATTTCTTGTGTTATTAGCAATTGCATTACTTGGTACATTTTAATCTCCAATAACTGCATATACTATATAATTACTATCGCAAACAAATACTTTAAACAGAACTATAGTTGTTATATAAAGTAATTTTAGTGCTTCAGCATTAAAAGTTAAAAATTCGTTGTTTTAATAAAAATGAAGTAAGCATTTTTTTATAACATGCAATATTATAGTTATTAAAGATTTATACTTGATTTTTGTTCAAAATGGTATTTGTAGATTCCTTAGATGTTGCTCAGTAATGAATATCTCGCGCATAGTGATAATCACTACAAAAAATGATGAAGATTTCAGCAAAATATATGGAGCTTATAAAATGTCAATGAAAGTTAATAAAGACTTGAATTATTGTTAACATAATTATTTTTACTTAACTTAGAATTTGCAAATTTCTTAAGTAACATAAATAGCAATGATAGAAATTTTGATTTTCATTTTCTACTCATTAATAAGCTACCAAATTTTAAAAGATTCAAAAACTTAATTTTGAAAATTTAAGTGGAAAGCATAATTTCACTTTTTTTTTTGCATCAAAATTTAAAGTAAAAGAACATTTTTTAAAGACTTATATATCACATGCCGGCTTGCCTAATTTTCAGTATATCCGAGTAGTTTCAATTTCCTGTTTTCATATTTAATTTCTTTCTGGTTAATTATTCAGCCATAATTTAAATTGCATAAAGCTGAAGAAATTCTAAGTAATAAAATCATTGAATTCATCAATCTTCGTACGGTTGACCTGAATTTCCTTTGATGCGTCCTTATCTCATCGCTCGATCATTCCGTGCATTTTATACCTTAACTTCTGTCATTTTCTTTCTTTCTTCGATTGGATAAAGAAATTGGCAAACTTGCTTTTCGAGACTGAATGATTTACGAATTATATAAATCAATAAACTGATAAGTTTTAATAAGAAATCATTTCTCCTATTTGAATTTACTAAAATAAAATTTTCATCATTCGACTAACTTTTATTGCAATAAATAGTTGCATAGCCTTTTTTTTATTTAATTGCTGTATTATTTCCCGCTTAAAAAACAAACTTCTAATATAATAGATGTTAAAAATTCTAAATATGATCGATTTATGCATATTATACTTGAAAAATCTAAAATTCATTTTACAAAACAGAAAGCTCAAATATGTTGCAAGTTTCTTTTCGTGTAATGAAAGGATTCAAAGTTGCTCAGCTTTTATCTATGACTAAATATTTTAAGAGTCTAACTTTCATTAAATTATGCTGGAATTAGACAAAATTTGCTATTTATGACGAAAAGTGATAATATATTATTCATTGCAAATTTTTTCTTGTATGTACCACAACATGCAATTTTCAGTGATTGAAACTTGTAAAATTTTTTCCTCTTACTTGAAAAAAAAGACGTTTTTAAAATGGAATGCAAAAAATGGCAGTGTTTCCAAGTAAAGCTTACAGTTAGTTATTCATTTGAAAAGAGGACGCAATAGAAATTTTATCTAAACAAAATATCAGAGTTACAATATTCTTAATAATAAAATTCGTGCCGATGTTGTTGTTAATTAGTTCAAATTTGACATTTAGTGTTTCTTTGCTTGCTTAATTAATACCATAAAGTACGTAATTAATAGTTAATAGAAAAATACGAATAATTCTCTTAGTCCATTTAATAAAATTTAAATTGTTCAGTCTTTATATAATGTAAATTCATTAGTAATAGAAAAAATTTTTGCATGCAAAATTTTTTTAATATTTACAAATTGAAATGATTTGCAGATCAATTTTACAAATTATTTATGACTACTTGATATGATTGATGTAACTGAATTTATTTGCATATAGTTTTCATTTGTTATTTCAATATTTGATGTCGGAAATGTTTTTTAAAAAAGAAGAAGAAAAATGAGATATTTATCATTGCAAATTATTCTCAGCAGCAGTGTGGATGCTCAGGTACGGGTTAAATATTCAAGAATGCCCGAAAATTATTGAAATAATCGTAGAAAATTTGCACAGACAAAGATAAATTTCAAATAAACCCAAATAATAATGTAAATGAATGGATTAAACAAATTTGTAAGCAAACAATAATTACTTGTGCATAATTTTCTCTTCTAAAATATAAATTAATACCATTAAGCATTTACATTATATAAATTTAAAAAAATATTACAGCAGCAAAGAACACCAAAAACTTTACATAATTGAAGTAATGAATGAAAATATTGAAAGTTGAATTAAATAAACGATTCAAAATAATTTAAAGTACAGTATGAACAAATTACATCAATGGTAAAAATACTAGATTTTTTGCTTTTTTCCAGCAAATATTATTTTGTCATGCAATCCGACGTGTTAATTGTGTTATTGGACGAACAGAACGCAATGAAGTGGCGTATGTTGCACGAGAACCTTCGGGCCAACTTTATAGGAGATTGTGTCATTTATTTAAAACAAAATCATCAAGTCAGGTTAGAAACTTTTAATTAATTTTCATTTTCTTTAAAAAATTTTTCTAAATGAAGTTCATTGAATAATTAAAAAGAAAAACATAACAAAACAAACAAAAACTACGTTGATTTTACGTTGAATTTTTTTATTTTCTAAATGATAATATGTCTTAATTCAAAATTTGTAAAAAGTTGTAAAACTTGACGAGTGGAATTCCTTTGATATTCAGAATTTCAATTCTACTTTCAGCTTTAATTGTTACTACAAAAAAATTAGCAATTTCATTGTTCACTTAAACAGTTATTATTTATGTAAGAAATGGTAAAATTATCAAAAGCAAAAACCTTTACAACTATTTAATGCTTTCCGAAGTGCTGGGTGGATTGGACTTTACTTATGTATTTGGTAAGTTAGGATTAAAGGGCAAATTACAGGGAACCAAATTACTTGAAGGTTATGTATGATTTGTTATACGAGCATTGAACTGTGCTGCTCAAAAAAAAGAAACAAAAAACTGGAAGAATGCTTGAAAAAATAAAAGAGGAAAAAATTTGAAGAATATTTAAGAATTTGTTTAAAGTATTAAGGAATTAGTTGAGCTAAAATGAAGAAATTGTGGTGGGCAGCAATTCTATTAGCTTACTATTTCGTCTAATCTTCCAAAAAATCTTTCTAACTACTTCCGCAATTTGTCTCTTTCTGAGCTTTGCTTCCTATCATATATCAGTACTATATTATAAACTTATTATTGATATTATTTATAACGACTTTTGTTGATTTAATTATCATCATTAATAACATTTTTGATGAGTTCAATTTTCACTGTCGAAAAATGGAAAATTTTTTCTCATTCTTAAAATTTTCTGATGTTAAAATTCTAATAATTACTGCTATTAATTTTTTATTTACAATATGTTTTTATTATTATCACTATTATCATTAATAGTGAGGTCAAATGATGTTAATATTACCGTTTTTTACACATTTTTAATTTTTGCTCAAATTATCGTATAATCTTGAAGTATACTGAAAATTCTTAATTTGTGATATTTATGCATCATAAAAATTGCAGATATTTATGCAAATTTTAGCACTTTTTGTGAAAGCAAAATACAAAAAAAATAACAAAAACTTTTTATTTTTGTTGTAAAATTACCTTAGTGGGAAACTGAAAATTTATGCTTTTCGCGTTTTTAGGTGCAAGAAATTGAATCCGTGCTTGAGAATGCATTTCATGCCGCAGCTCTCAATAAACCAGCCATGGCTGCTGATTCAAAAATTCACCTCAAATTGATCCCATCAAATCTCACAACACCAGGCGGTGCTAGCGTAAACTCCAATCTCAATTCTAAACGTACGCAAGTACAGCAGCACTGCCATCAAGGGACGCAGAACTTCACCACCCCAGCGGTCATGACTAATACTACTGACGTACCATCGAATATTCCATCGAATAGCGATCCATGCAAATTGCATTCTACCTCTATTCTTTTTAATCGACTATTTGGCAAACACCGTGTTGAAATTGACCACAACAACAAAGAAAACAAAACAGCAGCAGCATCAACAAACATGGCTATTACATCCAATACACCAAATAAACGACAGCGACGACCAGTTAGTGCAGTGTTCAGTCAGGCTTTGCATCGACTTTCTTCAGCTTCAATTTACAACAAAAGAGTATGTATGCCATCACTGATAATGTGCAAAGCAATAAAGCTGATAAGTGGATGTGCAGTGATATTAGTGCCAGGCGAAGGATTGCTAAGACTTAACATAGCAATCATTTTTTTATTGATACCAACTAGTTTTATTCTGGTAATCGGCTGTTATGATTAAAGAAATTAAAGAAAAAGGTAGTTAGGATTGATTATATTCATATGAAAAATGCAATCATTACGATAAAGAATGACAAAAATTGAAGGAATTGAATAAGTAAGCTAGAAAGTTTTTAAAACTTTAATCTAGTACGATATGGTATGCTGTTAATTTGACTCATTGAGAAAGTATTCAGATCATGGTATAGTGCTAATTTAAATCCCGAAATTAAGAAAAATTATGGTTTTGTATAATTTGAATATTTCTATTAAAATTTTGATATTCAGAAACCTTTTTAGTGATTTTAATGTGATGCTAGCTTCCTTATTAAAAAAATTATTTTTGTATTGCTGCTTCATAATTAATTTTATTCTTATACCTTTAGAAATAATCGAAAATAGTAATTACAAAATCTGTTCATTATCTAATTTTTGTGATAAAACTGAAAACTCTTTCAATCGTGCTAAATAATTCATACAAAATATTATGTATAAATCATCTTTATTTGTGCAGAAGAAATTCATTATAGCATTATAATAGTACTAAAAAATTAAGAGGTAATTCTATTTTACAATAGTTATTTAAATGCATTTTAATTTATAAAACTCAATGCATGTAGCAAATTCTTGGTGTATAACGTCATTTTGAACAAATAAAACGCATATTTATGCAAAAAAATCGTTATGATAATGATTATAAATTGACAAAACCTAATTATACTAAAATATTCAAATATGCAGTATTATTACTGAGCGAACGATTGGTATTAAAGGAAGTTCAGTCAAAAACATTCACTGAACTTTCACAATGTATGTTATTCCTAATTTAAAAAAAGATTAAATGTTTTACTAGAATATGAGAATAGATTGAAGTTTTAAATTAAGCAATTTTCGATTGTTAATACGTATACATATTATGCTATGATTGACAGATGCATACGGTGTTTTCTTAATACTTTTTTCAGTTTATCTTTTTTGGTCACGTAAGTTATTTTCTGACAAATTTTTTCGTGTCCAATTCTGTAGTTTTGATCTTTCATTCATTCTTTATCTACTAATTTGTAATTATAGTAAGCATAGCTGATGTTCTCTTAAATGCTAGCTTTTGACATTTTTCGAAAGATGCTATTAACAATGCATCTGTCAATCTCATAATTCTGAGATAATAAGTAAGACAGAATTCAGTATGTTTACAGAAAACTTTCCCTTTGTCCTTTTTTATTCTGAATTCAAATCTAAATTTGATCAAGTTTAATTTAGTCCAATTACAAACATTCAAATCTGAAAAACTGGTAAGTGTTTCTGCTTCTTTATTTTATACGTTGTGACTTGAAGAATTCAATCCATAGTGAATATTCGCACTAAGCAATTCTACTGGCATTATACTGCTTTCAACTCATTACTATAAAATTTTTTTCAAATGTGCGTTTACTTGTATCAAAATATTTCCATTCCATATCCAATTACTTATTATTATTATTATTATTATTACTATTATGGTTATAACTTTTAGCAATTAATGATAAAGATTGCTTTCAGTTTTCCTCGACTGACACACCACGGAAGTTGGAAAGACCTGTATCAATTTGTCAGGCGCTACCATCATGCACCGCTTTACCTTCTCAAGACTCTACATCAGCTACACATCTTCCTTTCATAACAAGAGAGCATATAGCAGTAAATTCTTTTTAGCATACAATGATGACTTTAGTGGGTGCAAATTAAAGAAGCTTTGCAAAAATGCAAATTTGGAGCAAAATGGATAGCAAAAGATCATCTAATTCACCTTGTACAATTTTATAATTTACAAAAATTACTCAAATCGTTGTATCAATCTATTTAGTTTCAAGAAGAAGACATACTGCGTCCATTTAGACATACTCAAACGACCCCGTCTTTGCGCTATGATAAACGATTGTAAGTAACAATTTCTCACAAAATATTATGTTAAAAACCAATTAGTTATTCAACCACTTTAAATTTCGTTCTGTACTTATTTATCGTTGTAAATTGTTGTTGCTGCTAGACTCAAGAAAATACTTTTACATATCGCCCTTGATCATTAAGTTTTAAAATCAAATCCACTGGATTGACTTGACAAGAAATGATGGCAATTGTTTGAAATAATAATCTCCCCCTCCCCTCAAAAGTTACTAGTTGCAGTGATTCATATTAATACCACTTTCTGCTATTTATAATAAAATAATGCTTATTTTCATATTTTGGTATAGCAAAATAAAAAACTGTTCATTCGAAACTTTTAAGACTTACACTTTTGACTTTTCAATTTTCATTCCAAAAATTTTTATTTTGTAGCGACTACTTTAACAAGTAGATTTTCTTATGTAATGCTATCCTATCTACGTGACATAGTTGATTCTATCATTATTATTATCAAAGCGTTATAATAAAGAAAATTAAATAATGCGAACAAAGTTCTGATTAAACGTTGTATTTCTGTGCTTCTATCACACTTCTGATTTTTCCCTTAATTCCTTATAGCAGTAACTCGAGAACTTTCAAGCAAAAAATTTCAGAAGTATTGTGGAGTAAGCAATACGAAAATCCTCCGTATATATTTAAATTCTTAAAAACTTCTGTAGCCAATAGTATATCGAATTGACTTATGCTCCAGCTAATGGCTTATTCTAGTTGAAATTACTTGCTAATACAAATTTCCTTCGCCTAATCTATTGCATTGTAGAACAGAATGGATCTATCCAATTGATGAAAATTTGGAAAAACAATTACGGCAAGTCGCCTACTTTTGCAGATTTGCACATCGGTTAGTTCTGAAATTTATTTGCTAATAACATGCAAATAACAGAACTATATTCTATCTAATGCATCTGATCGCAGAAGAAAAATTAATAGAGCCTTACAATTTATACTATTTACATACTGTATTTTGTTTCAGTTCAGTGCATATGATCATGCTCTATGCAGTTCATTCCTTCTTATAGTAGTAGTAATTTATGAAACCCATAACACCTCTTTTCAATAAATAATTAATTTCTCATTTTCTTCCCATCATGTTTGGCGAATATGATGTGAAGGCAATAAAAATATCGTTATGGGGTGAGATCCCTCTTTCTAAATCTTCATCCATTATCATGTAAGATATATTTCTTCTATGTCATTTATGGAAGCTTATATGAATTATCACGATATCATCAGTCCCGCTTGAATGAATGTTTGCAATGAGCAAACAAAAATATATCTAGATATATAGCATTAGATAGTTAACATCACTGTAGAATTAGAAATATAGCATTAGATAGTTAACATCACTGTAGTTAGCTACATACTTTACCAAAGTTATATTTCTCAAGCCAGTTTTCAATTTATCAGCCAGCAACTAGATTATTCAATGTTCTATCTAATGCTTTCTAAATTTTGCAATTTTTCATACCAATAATGGCCTTTTGCTATACCATCTCTTATTCAATCGTAATACTTATTTTGAGTGCTTCTTTGCAGGAATAACGTCATAAGCGCATTACTCGAGCAATCCGAAGGAGCATTTGTGATTCGACTATCGGAATCTAAACGAAAATGTCTGGCACTTAGTGTCCGAGTACCATTCAGTCATAATCCTACTGGTGTATCGCACTACCTTATAATCAGAAATAACAACGGATTCAAACTGAGGGTCTTGCTTTAATTGCTGTTTTATTGCAATTCGAAAAAAAAAAAACTTTAATATGACCCCACAGTTAACAGCCCAATGAGTTTGAACAAATATTTTCAATTTTCCTATTTTTTTAGGGTTCAAATAAGTACTTTCCATCAATACCAATGCTTGTTACACATCACTCTGTAATGCCGGAACAGCTCCCATGTCGACTGATATTTGCCCATTGGGGTAATAGATGGAAATGTACTGAAACGAATAATAATTACGATTATCCACCAAATGACAATGATGACAAATGCTCGAAAGTGGGAAACGACAATCAGTGATTGGTTTTTTTGAGAAACCGCAATCAATTATTCCTGAGCAAGTCAATCCCTCAGAAGTACAAATCTGATTATATGAAAGATGGAAAATGAATAATTAAAATCCGGTACAACTATTTCATACAGCAGGTGATTGATTTCTTAGTACTGAGAGTTCTTGGTTGCAGTTGGGATCATGATGCTAGCGCTACAGACAATAATAATGATAAGGGTAGAGATGGGCCGATATCACCAATTTTCTTACAACAAATTAATTTTGAATAAGCGAATTATTATCACTTACCAAGCAAAATAAATGACTAAAAGTGATCTCCAGCACATCTTAAGTTGCATATACTTTGCAAAGTAAACTATCATTTATGCTGATTCTTCAGACAAAATAATGCATCGAAACAAAGTCCAGACTTCAGATTTTCGAATCATTTATTCATTTAACGACTAATTTTATATTAGAAGGGCATTTACTGGAAAGTGACTCACAGAAAATAGATTATTAAAAACCTTGCAGTCAATTTAGGAATATAATATTGAACAAGATCATATTATTTACTGAACTAAACATGTATTTTTCTTTTAGCAGTATTCAGATATGTAGTAGGAAAAAAGCATGTTTTTATGAGTCTCAAACAAAAAATCTGTGAAAAAATCATTGAGAAGATCTATTACCACTAATGCTGAGAAAAAATTTTAATAGAGCTTAAATAAGTTTGCTAGGCATAATACAATATAAGCGCACTGTACAACATATAAATACCCGTCACCAATATACGTAGTGAACCGTCTCAAATGTAATAGTGCAGAGACTTGAATAAATGCAAAGTGCTACGGATTTGGTTGCATTGAAATCAAAGCTAAATGGAGCTCAACATTAAATCCGGCGGTAACGTATGAGCAAACATTGAATAGGCTCGGTGCTACCTGAAAACAGCTTTATATATCCAGATCACCTATCAAAAGCAAAATATCACATTAGTGAAATTTGTGTTTGTTTGATCTGAGGACACTGGACGCTAACAAATGATTCAAGTATAGAATAATCCAAATATGACAAAAAAACAAACATTAGATTTTAATAAGTTTTATTTAGTGACAAAATTTGGTGACGCGCACCTGGTTATCCAAAAGATCTAACCATGCAGTGAACTCCTCTTCCATGCCAGACCATTGCTTCGTCTTATACTCAGCATCATCATCTGTGAGATGAATACGAAAGAAAAAATCTCTAAAAACATGGCTGAAATAAAATTAAAAACTGGTAGTCTGAACAAAAATAAAGCTCTACTCCAATTGTGAAGAGTTAAGCC